ATCTTTCCTGCTGTTGTCAGGTACATTTTGACCATTTAAAAAAAACCAAACTGCATCCAAACAAAAATTAGATCTTTCCCTAATAATTTTTCAGTGAAAAACTGGACAAAAACTCATTCATTCAGTAGTTCTGGCACTGACCTTGCACAAGGAACACACGCTCAGATTCCCGGCCTGAATGCAAAAGGGCAAAACCTCCTGCTCATGTCTCCCAGATCCCTGTCAGTGGATCCTGAAATCAGCCTGCTGCTGCTGTGCTTATCTGGCTCCATCACAGAGAATGTAACTATTTATACACAGTGCTTTGGTCCCAACAGGAGACTGACATGGTGCCTCCAAAACCAGAGCCCACAATGATGAGCCAACACCCCCTCAGATGCTGGAAAGTAGTTCATAGTCCCAGGTTCTTCAACACACTTGGAGCGTATTTAAGTCTTTAACAGAAGGTAATTTTGTTCTTTGTCACAGAATCCTTGAATCCACAAGCTCTCCAGGGTTTGGAGAGAGGATATGAACACAGAATAGCACACAAGGAATAGCAATGAAGGGCTGGAAATGGGAATTGCCACATCAGTCACAAGTGCACAGATCTACACCATATCCTCCAGGCAGCTCAAGGCCAGCCAGAGGATCAGAAACAAAGCCTGCAAACAGAAGGCTGGCCATGCTACCAACCCCTCTTACTGTAAAAGTGCTCTACTGTGTCCAAAATCCTGTTTAGAGTAACTTTTCAGTAAGATTGGATGCATCTTTCATTGGGTGTGTTTGAAAGGTCATGGAGGAGGAATGGAGGAATGCCAATGTCACCCCAGCTGTTCCAAGAGGGCAGGACGGGCCAGCAGGGTGTGCTGCCATTCAGCCAGACCTGGACAGGCTGGAGAGGACTCAGGGAAGCTCAACACAAGAAAGTGTGGGGTCCTGCAGCTCAGGCACAATAACCCCACACACCCGTACAGGTGGGGGCCGATCTGCTGGCAAGGGGCTCTGTGGAGGACAGAGCACTGCCAGGAGCTGTCCACAGAAGCTGTGGAATCTCCTCTGGAGATGTTCAACTCTGCCTGGACATCACCCCATGCAACCTGCTCTGGGTGAACCTGCTTTTATCAGGGAATTGGACTAGGTGATCCCCAGAAGTCCCTTCCAACCCCAAACATACTGTTTGTGATTTAAGGAGCGCTGTTTTGTGGGGGTTTTACATGGAGGCTGCTATGAGAGAAGAATGCAAAGCTGTGAATTATTCACAGAACATATATTACCTGTCACTAATCTCCTTTCCAACCAATTCCCAAATTACTTTAATAAACCATCTTTCTCATTTACTAAATTATATTACTTAAAAGTATCTACTTTTGATCAAAGCCAAAAGAATACCCATGTGACAGTGCAAATGTCCATAAGGTTAAATTCCATAAGCCTTCCTGTGTTGGTGGAGGATTGATTTTAACTACTGGAATAAGAAATGTGCACATTTACAATTCTGATTGTCTCCGTCTTGGTTGGATGATCCAGTGCCTTGATGGTTTAAAATTTTGATAATGTAGTGGGATAGAAACAAGACTTTTCAATCATACTTGCGTTTGTTCGGGATTTTTATCTTATTCAAGATTTGGAGTTGAGGTATCCACTTGAGAAACTTCATTCATTCATGAAGGTTTTCCTTAACTCTATTTGCTACAATGAACAAGGCAGGCAAATTTAGGCACGGCCTCATTTTTGTGCTTTACTTTCTGGAAAGTTTTGCTCAGAAAAAAAACCCCAGAAATCACCACTTTTACCTAGGGAGCAGACGTTCAGGTGCCCATTTTGTCTGAGGAACTTCCCCAAGTACCTTAAACCAAACTCCTGCTTCTAGTTCTGGTACTTACCTCTCTTTGGAACACAAGACATGGCAATGGTTCTGTATGATGTTTAATTCAGTTGATTTCTTGCTCTAACATGACAGAGCGGAATGCTTGGGAACACCCTCTTCTCCATCCCTACTAAAGGTTTGTGTTTAGGTACCAACGTGCAGCAATACCTTTATCAAATGAGCTGGGTGGCCCCCAAAGGCAGGCTCTTACCTCCATTCTCTGTCTGGCTGTTGCAAGCAGAGTCCCTTGGTGTTACTCAAGATCCTGTGAGTGTCACCACCCTGGGCAGCTGTCCTCTCTGAGAGCCAGCCCTGGATACCTCAGCAGGGTGGGAAAAGGAGTGGCAAGAGAGCTGAGCAGTCTCTTCTTCCCCAGGGCCGTTCTGTTTGCCATGAGCTCTCTCCCAATGCAGTGGGCTGTGTATTAATAAGTTAATGTTCCCCGCTGCCCTGCACCAGCTTGCTGGCTTGTGGGAATTACCTGACAGTGACAGGAGACTCGGTGGCAGACACTGCTGCCACTCCTGCCCTGACATGGAACAGCGACTTTCCATTATGGGCTGATGTAAGAGGATAGCAGAAATAAGAGCAAGGCCCTCGGCTGTAGTAAGGTGTGTCAGATTGCTGATAAATGCTGTACTGCAATTTAACACAACTTTTCAGAGGGTGGCTGTGCACACCCAGCCCTTGCTATTTTAAGGAAACATCCCTGTCTTAACCACTTCTCACATTTAGCCATTTAACTTTGTTAACTGTTTAGAGGTTTAGGTTCTTCACTGTGAAGAAAAAGGTTATACAGGCCTAATTCCCATTAGTTCCTAAGATGGTCCAGCCCCGCAGCTGGGTTCTGGCAACAGCTTTGAAGAAAGAATGTGACATTTCTGTAACACAGAAATACTGCTCTTCTATCTCTTTGCCTTGGAAATCCTGTTTTCTTCCAGCTTGTCTGTTTTTTGCACCGATTTTCTTCCCCCCCCCCCCACCCCAACTCTGATTAAATGTTCTCCTCCTCCCCGAACTTAAGTGTTTGCAGTGCCTTTGGCCTGGGCTGGGTCTGGACAAGAACACGCTGGAACAGGCAGCCCTGGCACTGCCTCTCTGCAGTGTGCAGCACACAGAATTCCTGCCGCCTCCTCCTCCTTCCACATGCACGCTGCCTTGGAAGCAGATCCTGCAGCCTGTCCTGCTCAGCCACAGGGATCTGTGCTAGAGAGGGAGGGAAGGCTTCCAGTCTACTCTGTGTAGCTTTTTTTTCCTGTGAGGCTTCGACAGGCTGCAGAATTACTAAATCTCCCCTTTTGTGAGGATCCAAACCTCCCTATAATCTGTACAGGGGTGTCAGCCCATGGCTCTCCCTGCAGGAACCAGGGCTTTAGCAGTCAGACCTCACAGCACTCAACTCCAGTTCGGACACATCTGTCTTTTACCAATAATCTGTAAGGAAGAAAGAAGCTGAAACTCCTGAAGCAATGTGGATCAATTCCTCAATGACTACAGTTAATTTTTTGACTAATGGTGTTTTCTTATGCTGGGTTATATAAAAAAGTATGACTGCAGAAATTTAAGAAGAAAGAAAAGCTGCTAGAACCATGAAGTAATTCTGTTTTCTGAAAGAACAGCCCAAGGAGATGATAAATTACCAAGGATTAATAACTCACTGAAGAAACAGTAAAGTTAATCCTAGATACAATGAACTCTGGATGTAACACAGCCCTAGGAGATGTTACTTTTATTCAATGTGTCCTGGAAGGCCCTTTTTAGAAAACAGAATCCATCTGATTACTTCAGGTATATGCACAGGGTATATTCAAGACCCAGGAAATGGTAATTTTCAGGCCCTGAAATATTGTGTTCCTTACTCACATTAAAAAGTGAATAAACGAAAGCACTGGGTTCCTTCAGCTCAGAACAAACAGCCTCTTCTCGTGCACTCCTGAACAGAAAAAAGTATTGCAAAGCCACCAGGAGGCAGCAGATTAAAATATTTGTGCTCTAAAGAACAACCATTAAAAAAACCCAAACCCTGCCTCTCTCCCAAATTTTCAATCTGATATGGAGGAAATGTGTTCTCCCAGCCCCCTGATGACCATTTTGCTTTATCCACTGATCTCTATTCTCTGCATACCTGAAATCAGTAGCGATTCCGCTGCTGTCAAACAGCTTTATGCAGGAGCGTGGTTAAAATGGAAATCAAACTGATTTCTGGAATAGCACTCACTGGAAAAAAATGAGCAAAAAAAGTAGGTAAAAGCAATATGACAAAATATAAAACCTCCCAACAGATTAAACCACCTCTGGGGTTTGCTGAAAAATTCCAGCCCCCTGAGCTCTCTCCTGACTACCTTCTTTTGTTTACAGAATGCCACCCAAGAAGAAGCACTGGAATTGTGACCAACCCAGGACAGGCTCTGGCTCCCTGCCACACCAACACCGCTGCTCCAGCTACGCTGCCCTGGCCCCCGTCCAGCTCTGCATTCCCTGACCCAGGAAAGCTGCAAGTTGTTTCCTGTCCATCGTGCTCCTTTTCTGCTCGTATAAAAAACTGTCATCAGTTGTGGCTCAGCATGGTTTAAGACAGCCCGAGATCACTACAGACATATATGTAAGCTTTTAAACTGGTACATTGCTTAAAATCCTAATTATTTATAGACATAAACGCATTTTGTATTTCTATATGTATGTTTTTATATCACTGCATATATTTTATGGTATTATACGGTATTACATAGCATAATAATAATAGTAGTATTAATAATAATAACAATAATAGTAACTGCTCTTACAGAGTCTTGTGTTACAGGCTGAACATAGATATGAAACACAGTGGGGCAGCAACAGAGATGTTGGAACTACCTAAAACATTTCTATATATGGCTCTAAGAGTATGTGCACAGTCCCCCAACAAAGCAGGGCATGAGCAGTGTGCAATCAGCCCCAGGAAAGGCACTTGGCAACCAGCCCAAGGATAAACCACAACAGCAAACACTTGTGATTTCAAAACCAAAATTCAGCTCCTAACAAAGTGCATTGGTGCCTCTGGTGTCTTAACTCAAACAAGACACTACACATTTTCCACTGCAAAGATCACGATTAATTGGGAAAGTAAAACGCAAGCACAGTGTCAGCAGAAATCACAAATTTATTAATCCTTAAATATATCAATCATTTACCATTATGGCAAGAAATATGTACACTGTGTCCCATGGTAAACTGCAGTGTTCCAAAATGACAGAAGTGTAGAATTCAGTTGTGGTGGAGAGAACAAAGCACAATTTCCTCACGTCTTGGTGTGGAAGACAAACTTGGTCTACAGTAATACGTCAACATCACATGCTATGTTAGAAGTATAAAAAAAACACCCTACACCTAATTCGTTAATTTTAAATACAGTTATGCCACTTATAGCCGCTTCACAAAAAGAAAAAAAAAAAAAAAAGAAAAAAAGAAAAAAAAAAAAGAAAAAAATCAATGAGAAAAAAATGAGGCCATTACTTTTTTCACAGATCCCATTGGCAGGTTAATATGGCTCAACACATTTATTGTAGATGCTTATTTTAAATATATATTGTTTAAAGTCATGTAGTAATTATCAGAGAAGCTTAAGTCCATCTACCATACATCCACTAGTAACAACATCAACATGTTTAAGAACTGCTTCTGATTAGTAATCAACACAGAAAGGTGAAATGATACAAATTAGGAAGCTTTCCCATTTTAAAAAGTCCTGGCTGCCGAGTTGTAAATTTTGGATGGCTAAAAAGGACACTGACTGAGATACCGTGCACTGTACAGCGCTGCGGGGAGCAGGAGCCTGCTGCTAACGGAATCGCGGGGAGATCAGGAGCAGCCCAGCCTGGCCTTTCCTGAAGGAAGTGGAAGGGAACAAACTGAAATTCTTGTGAGGATTCATTTTTACCGCAACGTGAGGGAAGGAGAACTAGTCCCTGCTGGAAAGTCTGCGTTCCGTGCTGCCGGCGTGGCGTTCCTCCCTCGGCCCGGAGCCGGGACAAACCCGTTGGGATTGCCGGCCTCGACACCGAATGCTGCCAGGGGAGCTTGGGAAACCAAGAGAGGATTGAGGGGAAGAGGGGGAGACACAAACCTGTGGTGAAGTGTTAGGGTCCCACGGAAAACCGGTGTCTCCGTAATTCGTTTCCAGAGAAGCAACAGCAGCAGCGTAATGTAAGTAAACTCTTCATACTTAGCTTTAAGGCCTAATATTTCTCGAGTATATTACCCACACAACTGTTCTATACATTAACCCACATATTATATTTTTTAAAGCCTCTTTAAAAAATTTACAGTACATCCTAAAAGCGATAAAAATCTTTCTCTTTCCTTCCATTTTAATCCTCAAAAACTGCCTCTCAATTATCACTTAGTTCCTTACCGTTTTTAATTTTGCTTAATCATCTGACAGAACCTTTCAGTTAAGCAAAATAAGAAAGCGAAAAGGACTCCAAAGGAAAACGGAAGCTGCTGACTCACCAGAACACTGACAGTTAATTCTGGAGTGGCCAAGCCAGCAAATGAGGAGATTTTTCCAGTTTACACAGACTAATAAACTAAGAAGGCTGCAGCTGGTCCAAAGCCAAGATATTAACACTTCCACATTTATCAGTGATTTTGTCCATCTGTGATAAAAATCTGTTTTACAGTGAAGGAGCTGCCAGCAGAAATCCTAACCATTCCTACCAGAACCGAAGCAAAATCCTGGGACTCAGGAGAAAAAGGAGAAGTCAAAAAACAGTTCTTAAAAAAAGAAGGTAAAACATACTTTTTCTTTTTTTTTTCTTTTTTTTTTTAATAAACATGATATATTTTAAAGTTGTCTGTCAAAACTTGGCATAAATGGAGCAAGTGACAAATGTATTATAGTGTGTCTACTGCTGTCCATCCAGTATCTCTTTTTGTCTTTTACGCCTTGTTATTCTCTATTTGCATGGAACATCACCTTCATTGAAATGTTAACAGTGTACAGATGGAATATACAGCAACGTGGTGCATCACAAATGTGTTACATGAAGAACCTTCACAACTTCATGCACTCAGAAACATGCATGAAGAGAACGGGATGGCCAAGATGGTAATCAACCAGGTGCGTTGGGTACAGAAAATGCAAGAGCGGCACCGCTGATATTTTTAGCTAGGAGGAAGGAGAAAAAAACAAACAGATTTCCATTACTGAGGTAACATCGCCACCAGATAACAACACATGCTCAAGTGTTAGCCAATGCCATTGAAAAAAAACCATCTTGTCGAGATCACTTAACACTTAACCGGGAAAAAGCAAGGGAAAAAACCTCCACTCAGGCAAGGCATTCTTTTATTTTTCAAACCACTTTACAGACATTTTCCATCTTTACAAGATGCCAGACAGGCTGTTAAAATAAAAAAGGAAACTGAGGCAGGAAGCCAAAGTGCCTTAAGGGATTCCTTAAGGGAGGGAGGGCGGAATTCGAAAGTCTCTGGGTGTAACTCAGCTTCCTCAGCATGGACATCGCAGGCACTGCCATGGACTGAGGCTCTTGTACAAAGACTGGACCAAGTGACAAGGAAGAATCGGGTGTCATTCACATGCAAGACATGCCAGAGCCGAATGCAGAGAGAGAAGGAAGGGAAAGGAGCTGGCAGCAAGTATGGAGCTAACTGAGGTTGGAGCATCATTTGTATTACCGTAGCATCTAGGGGCTGGAGCCGTGGTGGGATCCCTCTGCGCTAGGCACTGCACAAACACAGAACAAACTCTTTACTCAGCATTCCTGCTCTCTGGCACTGAGCTTATCAAAGTATAAGAAGGTGTGAGCTGTGGTCAGGGAGAGAACATAAGCCTCACTGAGGCTGAAGGTAGGTTAGGGAGTCACTTTCAGGCCCAGCAGCCCTTTGACTGCTCCTATTGGGCAGGTGCACTAGGCGAGAACAAGCAGAAACACATCTGCACAAGTCCCTAAGAACAAGGATACAGAGAACAATTTCCTACCATCACCTATCACCATATCCCATCACCCAGACAGAAACAATGGGTGAGACAGAAACCCAAGTCTGCCTCATCTCATGCGCAGCAAAACTACGAATAAAATTTATTTATAATCACACGTATTTATAAACAAATACACGTTTGTGCTTGTATCCTTTTTCAATTATGTTCTCTGCCAACAAGGAAACATTTCCCTATACCTACAGCTACCAAAGACCTCAGTTCTATCCTTAGATTTATGCACACTCCTTCTCATAGTCCTGAAAACAAGGAAGCTTCCATGCTTGCAGAAACTGATGTAACATCATCATAGGATACTGTGCCTGCAGAAGCAGATCACAGCTCTAATCGTTTCTGCAACTTTATTAGATTTGAAATTCATCTTCAGACATGATATATAAAATACTTTTGTATTATGGAAATGCCATTATTAACTACTGTGCGTTGGTAATAATTAAATAAGTAGCTGCAGACTGCATACTTTCAAATAAAGGGAAGATAAACCAGAACAACATGTTAATCAAGTTTCTTCTCTAGTTTTCCAAAACGGAGTTATTGCTGCTCGGACTGGGAAAAGCAAAGATGAAATTTGAGACCGTGTAAAAATGGTCAAGACAGGTCATAGGAGGTGATTCTAACTTGGTGCCACGTGGGAATCTCCCAGTCAGACTTAAGAAGGGGAATAAAGAAAGAATGTTTGTGCTGAAATGGGAGCTATCAGCCTAGAGGAGACTCCCTAGTCCTGAGCACAAGCAGTAGGACTGATCTCACGTAGCATACTGACACTTAGGTGGAAGGCACTATAAAAAGAAAAGAAAACAGGAGCATTGTACAAGGAGAACCAAATAACCTTGAGGGCTGGCTAATCCAAAAATATTACATGGAATAATAGGAAGTCCAAACCTCTGTAGAAGTTTCTACGTACTCACTGGTTGGACATGAGAGTTGATGATAAATAGGTGGCTGTCTCAGATGTGCTGCAGATCACAAAAGTGCAAATATCATGCCAGAACAGAGCAGGGAAAAGAAAGACATTGGGGAATTCAATAAAGTCCCACAATTGGACAGAGCATTTCAGAAGAAGCCAAGCTAATGGAAAGGCAAACCTCAAACAAAGGAAGACAGTAAGGAGATAAGGTAGTTGGAAAATAGAGATCCTATCAGACAATGCCATCTGGGGTAGTGCTGGCTGTTTACCCTACAGAAGTAGAAGGTGGGAACGATCTGATCAGCCTTCCTACAAACCAGCTGATGTCTGCACACCTAACCAGTGCAGGAGAACACGATGACATAGAACAAGCAAGGATACACTGAAAATGACTAAATTTTACACTAAAAGTAAGGCTCCTAACCAACAGACTAATGATATTTTGGAACAGTGCTAGGAGCAAGTCCAAAAACCTCCTCTGAATTCAAGATGAGAGCTGGTTATGGGATTTATTGCTGCCAGTGCTACACACGTAGGGCTATGTTGCTAACTCAGGGAATCTCTCCTTAAGCCTCAGTCTGGTTCTGTGACCCCTTAAGCTTGGATACCCCTCACAGTCCTGGAATCTCCTCGGTCTGATCCCATAGGCTCAAAACATTCACCAATACAGAAATTGCCCTGCAACCTCCAAAAAGTTACTCCATGGTGATTTTGCTTCTCCTTCCACCCATGGCAGTTCCAGAAATTCTCATCTTTACTAGAGAGCACAAATAACTGCAAAGATCCTCCTGCAGCACCTCTGTCCCAAAACCACAGATGTGACAAAAAATAATAAAAGATTAAATGATCCCCTAGTCCAGTTCATGTCACTGTGCTGTAAACACTGACTGCTCAGGGTACAGTGGGCCAGGTGCACCTGCTTCACTTGGGCTTTCTGGCTCTACACACATGCACCCAGCTCAGATCCCTTTATGAACACCTCCAAGATTTACCTAACACTGCATTTCAAGGAAGTGTAACTGCTCTTTGAGTATGATCTGTTGAAACACTGGCAATGCAGCTGGAATGTGAGAAACAAAGGACAACGTGGCTCCTGTTCCCATCGGTTTCACATTTTGAAATAGAACAGTTATCTCTAAGTAATAAAATTTCTTTTTTCCTAAATAAAAAAAAGAATACAAAATCATCACCATGGAAGTTTAACACTTCATTCTACCTTATTTCTTACTTCATCAAGTATTATTTAATATAGGAGAAGAGTGTTGCAAGAAGTAAAATACAAGACATGATGAAGATCAAAGGATGAAATCTGAGCCCTTACCATCCATGCCAGGTAATTCAGCCACTCTCCACATTAAGACACCTGACACAAACGGAATTGTATCCTATACAGAGGGCTCACAACTGTGCAAAGCCAGGCCTGCACCAGTGCTGCCTATCTGGGAAACCTCAAGTCAGTGAGATTTGAGCTCATTAGCAGAGGCTATTGAAGAAGAGGAGCCAACGGCCTGAGCGTCATGTGGCTCAAGGAGCCTGGGCACTGCCTGACTCCGAGGGCATGGCAGGGCCTGGATGAAGAGCAGAGAGAAAAGCTGACGGGAGAGACGCGAGGCTTTCCCACGGGGATTTCGGAACTGTCTGATGGGAATACTCGGCAGTTACGCGTGGAGAGCGTGGGGAAAGATGGTACTGGGATGGCTCAATTTACAAGGGAAACGTGCCAACTGGCTCAAACCCAAGTTGCAGGGAACATATCTAGGCCTGAGGAAGTAGAGGTGGCTGGAAATCACACTAAATATTAGTCAAACTTCAGTTTTTCCCAGTAGTGACACTTCTTTACATGAAACTTTCTGGTCAGCTCTCACAGCTCCATATATCCTACTGCTTTTTATTTTTCCAGGTTTTCCAGCAATTCTATTCCAGGTTTTCCAATCCTGTTTTGTGTGACTTCCATCCAGCTTTCTCTACATTAAAACACTTTCCTGCTCTTCAAGCTGTCAGTTCAGGGACCGAATTGAATCGGTGGGCATCACAGTAGAAAAAAACACAACCAAAAAAGCGCATTATTTAAAAAACCTCCGCACCAATACTACGCACACCAGCGGGTATAATACATAATAAACAACCACAAGAAATGACACTACCAGAGGACGGCTCGCAGTTTTTAAGGCCCAAAGCAGCTATCGGACTACGCGGTGTGCCTAGGAGGTGTGAGCTGGTGGTGGGGCTGTTCCTTACTTGATGGGTACAGTGGGCGAGCCCGAGCGGTGGAAGTGCACGTTCTGCCACTTGCCGTCGCGCCGGTGCCACACGCGCGTCTCCTCAGACTGCATAGTCTTTGGCATGCCGCTGCTGTCCATGTACTGCGTCAGGCGGATGTAGGCGATGCACGCTGCGTCCTCGCCCACCAGGTGCACGTGAGGGTTCAGGATGATGGTGTGGATCGGCTTGTTGCTTTTGGACAGAGCTACAGTGTCGTGATAAGGGTTGTTAGGGACTTTGGTTTATTTTTGTAGCTATCGGCTTGGGATGCCCACCCTCGCCCCACCCTCTCCCCCCGCATTCCCAAGTCCCCCCTGTGAGTTCCCTCCTATACCTTTGTAGGTTTACTCCCGACTGTCCAGCATTCGTAGGAGTCTACATCTGTTATTTCTTACCTTATTTTGTTTAACCCTGATCTGTAGAAAGTTTCTAAGTTTGCTAGCTGTGAAGAATAATTGGTTCTTTGTGAAACTCTCACCCTCTGAAGAAGTCCTGTTAAAAGAAGCAGCCCAGACCCCCAAATCCTTTGCCTCTTCCTGGCGTTCCCTTTGCAAGAATAAACTGTCAAATATAACCCAGAAGAGTCCCCCTTTTGGCTTCTTTACTCGGTCGACAGACTTGTGCTCAGGGGGAACTGGCCTGCTCAAATCCTGATCTAAACCCAGACAGCAGCTCTGGTCAAGATCCCTCCTGGCCCCAGGCTGGAGAGAGAAGAAAACCTATATTTGAGCTAGCCAGAAAACTCTGGCCTGAGTCACTACAGGACACACACTGGGGGGGCACGCAGGAGGTATCACATTTGCTCTGGGTAAGCCAAAAGAACTCGTGCCAACCCATTTTATACACAAAAATCTCATGCTTAGCAGATACAAAGTCATAATAAAGGTTTAATGATAATTAAATCTGGGTTTTTTTTGTAGAATGAGCACAATCACTTATTATACACTATTTAATAAGAAAATACATTTAATCCATGGACATATATGGATTAAGTAAAGTGGAGGGCACCATCTGGAGTTTCCCAACATTTCAGTTTCACTGTTATGTCTAATAACACTTGTACCTAGTATTTTCAGTTGAAATCAGCTCTTAACTCATTCTTTTTTTTGACTTTTTAGTTCCAAATACCTGAAACTCCCTTCTGCCCTCTGAGGTGCCCTGTGATGTGTGAATGAGCAGAGCAGAAGCAGACTGAAAAACAGCTATAGCAGAAATTTATTAATTTATTAAAAAAATAATACTCCCTTCCCCTGCCCAAGTCAATTAACTCCCAAACCAAAAAGCTCATTAGATGAGAGACACGCATTACACAGTCACAAGGAACAGGTGAAGGCTTGGAGATGAAAAGGGAATATTTACCATTTTCAAAGTAAAACCGGTGGAAGTCCATCCCTTCTACCAGATTACCCAAAGCTTCAGGTTCAAAAGACGTAAGGCCTGGATCACAGATTTTTCTATGGAAAAGAGGAAATTGTCCAGTGAGAACTTCATGTGGTTAGGGAATCATGACTTTGGAGAGATCATTTTTCATTGTTTCTTTTATCCCTATCAAGCATTTCACCTACTCATGCCATCACACTGGAAAAGAACAGAATTTAAAGTAAGGAGAAGGCATGGAGGTCTGGTTTCAGCTCTCTCAGTAAATCTGGCAGCTTACTTTAAGTGGACTTAAGTGGACTGCATTTCATATAAATCATGTTCTGACCAAAACAAAGACCCACATGTCAGTGTTATTACAAGTAGGAATTTTCACTTGTGGCGATGCAAACTGTGGCTGTGCAATGCCAGGGATATTTTTTATGCCTCACATCATTATGTAAGCAAGATTTAAGTATTTCCTTCTAACTACACTGGAGATATAACAGCAGCTCTTCTGAAACTGGTCATGCGAGAAGCCAGGGCAAAGCAGCCATGCAAATACCTTGTTTTTTGTGGGGGCATCTGGGAAGGCATTTCAACAGTCCACAGCTCCAAGCACAGGCAGTCCCATATAAACATGCATATTTACACAGGCAGTGTCCAATACCCCAGCTCTCCTCACTCCCTCCAAAATGAGGAACTTACGTGTAAGCTTCGAAGTCCCCGTTGTTGATGGCTTCGATCAACTGCTCGGTCACCTTGATAATCTCCTGCTTACGAGCTGGGGAGAGATACAAACCCAATCTTACAGAGGAAGGCAGAGTGGAAGGTGACAGCTGACAGGTATTCTGTCACTCCCCAGCTGGCTCAACAGCCATCTCTCCTCCTTTCTACAAAGGACATGATGTTACATCGTTGCTTTACACTTACTTGCCTTCAGTGCACTCCTATATCCACAAGGAAATTAAACACATGTCAAGATCAATCCACTTCCCCAGCACACTTTTAATTATCTTTCCTTCACTGGAAGATGTGCTGTTTAAAAAGAACAAACCAAGCCCCAACTCTAGACTTCAAACTCAAGGAAGCTGATTACTGTTTTACAGCCAGTCTGGCTGTAGTTGCTCTCCTGTGCAAGCAACAGTTACAATTCCCCAGCACACTCCCACACATGGATTTGACCAGTACCACAAACATGCCTGGAATGTTAAAACTGAAAGTATTGAGAGAGATCACATTCTTCTTTAAAATAAAGTCCTGGGGAGCACACAGAGAAATTTACTTTCCAATGCTGTGCTCAAAACTGGCACTGTGGTGTTCACCTTCTCCTAAGTGCATGCCTAAAGCATTCAGGTGAAAAGGACCAAAAAAAAAAAACCAGCAAGGAAAAAGGTGATGGTGAAAAAAATGGATATAAAGGTCTAGCAAGGCTTTTTGTGAGCAGCTCTTGACTGTTGGCACTATGGCTAAAAGCATTTCAAGTATGAATTGTCTTATTTTTCACAAGGACCGTGGAAAAAATGAAGACTTTTAACAAAGAGAGCAGCAATGCCTCCATTATTATTGGTTTAAATAACATGGACTGTGTGGACACTGCATGGCATTGCCAGCACCAGCTAAGTGGTGGGATGGCTGAGTCAGAAATAACAGTGCAGTCTTACAGAAGGCTGGCAAAAAGAAATCCAGAACAAGCAGACCTCGTGCAGTGAGGAAATTACCAGTTCTGCATGCAACATCTCACATACATATAGCTGAGCTAAAGGATTTGATTTAATAAGCCAGTAACACATCTCAATCAGAGATGAGGAAATTACAGACCATTAAATCAGACAGTGGGAAATGAGGTAAAAATCTCTGATCAGTTGCTACATAATCACAAGCTCATGTTAGTGGATAACGAAAAAAGCTATTAATATGGCTACAATGGTACTGTAGTTTCCAGACACGAGAGGCACAAAACTACATGGACACAATTTATTGTCACTTGGCTCAAGACAACTGGCAATATTCCCTTTTTCACTAACAGCAGTTGTGCCTTTGCTGAGTTTTACCACCATACCTTTGACATTGAGATACAAAAGATATAATTCTACATCAACCCCAGAAGGGAGAAATGGAACCACGTTGCCAAACTGCTGCTTTTTCTGGTTTTAGCTCCAAAATGCAATTGCATTGCATATGTGGAACATATGTTTTCATGAAGCTTTCTGACAGCAGCCACCTTACATTACACGATGTGGTTCCAGCAAAGTTTCTCTGGGCTATACTAACATCCAGGAGGGCTGTGTCTGCAGGCGTATCCATGGGATGTGAAACACATCCATCAGGAAGCTCTGGAGGCCAGCAAAGGAGATTACAGCATTTATCACTGCCTCTGATCAATCACCATCCAACTCCAGCACTGGTGTCAGCACTTGTGGAAAGACTTCACAGTTCCCAGTGCAGACTGTCAGGAACAAGAACATGTTTCCAAATCATCTGCCTTTCAACTCAGTCCTCAATTTTTCTACAAAATTACAAGCACTACATGAAACTATGAAAGCCACTATGCTACTTTCACCTTTTGGCGACACACAATTACACACATATTAGAAAATTACATTTCTTCCTGTTTAGTGATCCGATATACAGTTTCACTGGCAGTGAGTAAAAGGGAGAGGCGGGGAACAATTCAGAGAGTGGAACTCCAGAATTGATTTATCCTATTGTGTAAAACTCTTTGCCTCGTTCCTAGCCCTTACTCAGTACAAGAACAAGGCAGTGTGAAAAAACAGCAGACATCAAAGACTAATTCAAGTACTCAGGAGCCACTGTGATTTTACACAAACCTCCTCCTCCTCATTGTTTTTAGCTTTTACGCCTTCTCATGTGGGTATTTGCGGGGATGCAGGGAGCCAGACTACAAACAGAGACCAGAAGTGTTTCTGCTTCGTTGTTGTCGAAGCAGAGGTTTAACCTGCAAGGAAGTAAGGAGGAGAAAGGAGATGGGAAAACCGCAATACAACACGTAGAAAATTGGAAAGAGACTGGAAAGCAGCAGAAGGAAAATACAGCTGTGACTTGGTGGCCATGTGCATCCCATCAAATCCTTGCACTTACCCTTAGTGCAAAGGACAAAACAGGGAGGGCACTGGAGATAAATTCAGGTGAAATGGTTTTGGTAGGAACAGTGTCCTGCTACTGCAGACAGCCTCTGACAGAAATAACTGGCAGTTCTTAGAGTGGTCAGAAAATTACCGAATTTTCACTCTGAGTTTGATGGACTCCACATAACATGTGCTCTTCAATAACTCCAATTTTTTTTCCCATCTAAATTACACACTCCATACTATACAAGGACAACACAAGGCATTAGGGAAGAGGCATCTGGCCAGTTCCCATCTGCCAGATAACTGTCACTTACAATCACCATTTGCATTTGACTTTTTCATTATTTATTTTTTTATCCAATAGTAAACTTGGCTTGTATTGAATTCTAGGACAATTATGCTGTTTGATGTACAGTGGCAATTTCATGCTATTATATTTTTCATTTGATGTGCAGTCAGGACTCCCTAAATAAAACTACAGAAACTGAACCTCCTAAACAAAACTGACAACTGCAATGAGATTCTGGTAAAACTGGTTCAGCTACTTTTTCCACAGAGTGTGGTCAAAGACAGTTCATAAAGTAAAGCCTGACCCATCTATAGTTTTTTAGAATATGACAATGGCTTTCCACAGCATAAAATTATATACTCTGTACACAAAGGCAGTTTGAACAAAAATATTATAAAGAAGAGCTATAAAAAGACCAAATAATAAGAAAAAGAACAAACAAGAACATTTCCAGTCAGTGGCTAAAATGTTTTCTTCAGCACTGCTGTAGCACATATGTTAACTTTAAATGAGTCATTAATCTCTAGCTATATTTCACTACCTTTTTTCCTTACTCAGCTACAGGCTGAGGGATGATCTTTCAAAATTAAAGACCACCATTAACACTAAGATCTAAGCAACATAAAATGAGGAGAAGCACCATTTAAGCATCTAACACTGTGAATATTTTCAGCCTACAAGGAGAAGTTGCCCAGGTAGTGAAATCAAATATTGCAGGAAAACAAAAGCACAGAATAGCAGAAGAAACTTTTTTCCAGGAGGGAACTCAGTGGCTTTTCTTCCCTTCCTGTAGCCCCAAGACATATTTATAAACTCTATCTACAAGAATCACACAGAAAAGACAGATATTTTGGTATTATGATTGCAGACAGAATGTGCAGCATTAAAAGTGAGCTGTAGATATGTGAAAGTGAAGCCTTCAGTAATATCTGTACCCGAAACTTCACATTTTTTGACACACAAAAAAAAAGAGTCCTCGCGACTCACTGACCACCATATTAGCCATGATTTTATTCAAAACTGACACCAGGGAAAACAATGATTTAAACCACTTGATGCTTCACGCAGATATTGGAACATCCTTCCCCTGCCACCAGCCCTTCAGGTGCCTGTGTCATCACTACTGCAATGGCTAAGCAGAGAAGCACCTTTCCAGAAGAACAAGGTAACCTTGTTCCAGATTTCCACACGCACTTGGAGATGATTAAAATGATTTTGCTTCTGACTCACTCACATGTTGTCTCTCAGGGCAAAAACCCTTAAAACTTTTCAGCTGGGTACTCTTAACTGTGTGTCTCGGTACACCTCAGACTGGATTAATCTCACAACATTTTGGACACGTATAAGTACAGACAAGTGAGTTTGTTCTCTCAGCTCCCCTCCCTTACAGCCAAGGGAGAGAAATCAGCACTTGCAGGGCACAATTCATCATATTCTACAATAGATTTTTAAGACAAGTGTGACTCATCTGACCTATTTGCATTGGCTAAAGGGAGTCTAGACAAACAGCTCAAATACAAATATCTACACTGTGGAGGTGGATTAAATCCAGGGGGACAAATCTTCCCTATTGTGCTGTTGTTTTAAAACAGGACAGCTGGTATGGAGGTGACAGTGGTCTGCTAAAATGGAATGGCACAGCATATCCCCACTGGGGAACCAGGCTGCACTTCCTATCTGAACATCATCCCAACAAACACCAATGAGATGGAAAGCACACAGCCAGTCAAGCTATTTCTATGCTCTGGAAATAAGCGACGTCTGAGAAGAAAGAGGAAGACACTAGAAATTTTATCCTGTATTGTGTAACAAGTTCTGGCTCTGTGGATGTACCTGATTTCATTCAGCTTTACAGCATGGACTGTTAAACATCACACAGCGTTCTTCCAAATGATTCTCATGACACCAACACTAGAAATTTCTCTGCTAATATTTTTTCTTACAATTTCTACCACAAATATTCCAATTAAATAATTTCTGAAAAGAAACTAAAAGAATGGGCTGCATGAATAAACAACTGACTGGGTCTCAGATCTACATAAAACCCACCTACACCTTCAGAAGCCAAGGCATGCTCCAGGGGACTTCTCATTTAAGAAGTTTATCAAGATTCAGTGTACAGAACACCAGCGCTTATCTCTTAGCCCACACTTAAACTCTGATAGGGATCAAAACATCTGAGTTGTCATCCCACATGTACATCTTTTTCCTAGAGCCTGTGATTCCAAAGACTCGCTCTGATTCATCGAATTATGAAACGGATGGATGATCTGCAGAATTTTATTAGGGTTATTTGCTATCTTTCACCTACCTGAAAACTGGTAAGCCTGCTACTGCTCCCCAAAAAATTAGAATTCTTTATCTATGGAAGCAAACACCTGAAAAATTATCCCAGAGCTTTTCCACCCGGTACTGGCAGAACAGATCCACCCAAATTAATGCGTCTATTTCAATTAATGTTAGGCAACTTGTCACGTGCCATATATAGTGTATTTTTATTTATATGGGATCAATGACATCTAAAGATGCTCTCTCTTTATGTGATTGTAGTAAGAAATTACACTAATATTTATACAGCAGAGCAAATGTTGGCAAATGTTTATTTTTTAATGACAAATCACCTATAGTCTCAGATCAAAGCTGCATCACGGTCGCTGCACTTACACTGCACTACGGTTTCCCTTAATTGTGGAATCTGGCTGCTCTTTCCAGAAATGGTATCTGAAGTCTCGATGAGGGAGACATTAACAAGCTTTCCTTCTGTGTATATTTTATTTAAACTGTGCTCCTGCCTAATCACTTGACTAGTTCAGAGGAACAGGACACGTGTGGTCCTGTTTCAGATCTGAAAATGCTGGGCATGTAAAGGATATTATGTGACTTATACTTCTACTTTGATACACACTCACCCATATATTGATAAAGCCTATTGTTATAAATGCATATCATATTATTGGCTTTCCGCAAATATTATAATGAATGTTATAGGTCTAAGATTAGAAAATTTTGTTGTATTAATATAGTTTCCTTTATTTCTGTTATTAATGGAACTTAGAAATAGTGGTATAATACATAGATGTTAGGCTATAACATGATATTAAAGCACAAACTACTTTTTTGTTTATATAACCCAGAGACTAAAAAAGAAGTCAGAGACCCCCCTGCATTCCTAAAACTATCTTGTCCAGATGAAGACAAGCAGTCCTCCAAGCCCTCCAGAAGAAAAATTTATGGCACCCATTATTGAAGGACATAAAACCTAGTGGTGCCTAGAAGGTTGATCTATTGGGAAGGGGGGGCAAGGAAAAACTAAACAGAGGAAAACCAAAAATCCTAAGAAGAATGTCTGAATATGTATGAGAATTTATGGATATGTAGTAGGGTTCTGTTTTTAAGGGACAATCCTTTGTTAGTAGGTGTCCTCTCTTGGCTGAATGCAGAGACACCAGGCCATATCTGTATACTTTATTTTATTTTTATCTCCTGATTGCCTTTTCATTAAACTTTTAAATTCTATAAAAAAAAAACATATGAACCGCGTTTTTCACACTATCCTGCTCCTTTCTCAGAATGAAGCTATTTTGAATAAGAATATATATTTTAATAAGAATATTTTGAATGAAGAATTTTGGCATTACCCAGCAACATGTGTGACCGGAGACAGCCCGTCCTCTCTGGGACCGGCTCCTCTCACCTGCATTAGCTGACCCCACCAAAAATTCCACTCCTGTTTAAAATAACCTTCAGGCCTGTAACACACAGCCCATGTTCCCAAGGGCCTGCCTGGATCTCACTTTTACCTGTGCAAATGCCTGTTCTTACCACGAGTGCAAGTGCCCTGACACACACTGGCCGCGGGACCAGAATCTGGCAAGCAGAGCCCTCATTCCCAGGAAGTAATTTCCCCGTTTCAACTCACATGGTCCTGCCCCTCTAAGGATTTTTTGAAGAATTTTTGACTACATTTACAATCAGGAATTGCTCTATCAATGTCCTTGGCATTCTACCAACACAGTGACTTTATCCTCTCATATTTTAATACTGGAGGTTTCCTTTACGGTCACAGTTGTTCACTGATCATCACAGATCTCCTCCTGAGCAGAGGAGGACATTCCCCATTCCCCACTGATGGGGATCAATGCTGCAAATTCACACCTGCCACAGCAGCTTCAAGGCTGGTTAATCAATGGGGATGCTCAAGAAATGAACTTGATATAATAAACGTAACAGGTCATTAATGCTGAGGCCCTATGCAGGATCCAAGCAAGGAGCGAGGCAAATCTCTCTCCCTAAGCTGAAAACTACTGCAAAGGTTACTCCTGTAAGATACAGCTTTTTGAAATACAGATGTATTTATCCAGCTGTTACAGCTGGTGGAAATATTTTCACAATTAATAACATGAAAAAGATATCTAAAAAATTTTACTTTTGTAAAGGCTAAGCACAGGTCATTCCTAGATCAGGCAGATCACAGCATTGACCTTTTCTGAGCTTCTGTCAGATGGTGGGGAGGGAAGAGGAGAGACAAAGGACATCATCTGACAGATGAGTCTCTCAACTTACATAGTACAGAGGAAGGAGTGGAGTGGGAGAGCTCAGACTCAAGCGATTGACTCTCTGAGTTTGCATTTCTCATAGACTTGCCCGCTGAATTGATGGAAAGAAACACAACATATGAACAAACAAAGATGAAGAGGTAGAGTGTGATCAGACTCCTCAGCAGGCACTGGCAGCAGGAGCGGCCTCTGGGGCACGGCAAAGGTGGTGACCAGAGAGATGAAGAAGCAATGGAAGAGGAGGAGTGGTGGGTGGAACTCAACCTCTCCATGTCCTCCTCCTTTGTGAAAGCTGTGTGAGGGTCAAGTACATGTGAAGGAAGAAAAAAAGAAGGCCAAAAGAAAAATAATGATAATTTAATTAGAAGCAGCAAGAACTTAAAAAATCTTTGAGCACACAAACAATGTTAATGATGTACTTTCAGGGGTAGTGTGGGTGCCAAAGAACAGTTGTAAAGGTCATAGGTGTGAGTGACTCTGTTCAGATGCCAGCGCAGAATTACCCCTGTATCTGGTACTCAGATACAAAGGGCTTTGAAAGAGCTTTGGAAAAAGTATTCTTAGAAATTTGCATGATTTTTAAGGAATGTATATTCCAAAAGAAATATGTTTCAAAAGAAGTAAGTTTCAACTGCTTTCTTTCTACTGTTGAATAAAATTAGGCCAACAGGTATAAAACGAGTTACAAATATATTAAATATTTTGAAGCAATGTACTTTCCAGATGTATTAAGTAGCACAGGTAGGTCACAGTTTGTCAGATCTCTAAGTGCCTTACAACTCAGCAATTTTCCCCATTGCCAAGCATCATTCTTACTAATGCCTTGGTTAATTTGTCTCTGGGGGCAAAGACACCGTGAGAAATCCACACCTCCTGTCCATGGTAAATTTAACAACTCACCTTTCTCAAAATCTGTGGACAAAAATAATGGTGCTTTTCCATAGCATCACTTGCAAAATCAAACCTGTACCATAGAGATGCTGCCCAATAGTTCCAGTCTCATTACTATAGGAAGAAGAAATCCCATAAGCAACCCCAGAAAAAGGCACTGCCTCCAGTTCCAGTTCTTAACATGTTCCTCCTATCGTATTTAGGAGGGATTGCTGTCATGTAGATAAGCCCATGATCGATGGTTAATGTCAAACTTATCTTAGCAAGGAACTGAACTACAGCTTCAAGTCATTTCAGACTCAAATGATATAATCAGCTTATTGCTTGACTTATGAAAGCTCACTGTTGCTTGGCAAGCACTGTTTCTAGTAAAAGAAATATGTTGTAGCCCTAGAACAGGTAACTGTGTACATTAACAAGGCGAAGTTACAGACATGGAGATTTTCAGTAAATAGAAAATGAAATGTAAGCCTGATTTTTGCCTCCAAAAGTGAACACATGTTGAGATCCTGACACGAGAGGAGAATGCTCTAAGCATCCCTGACAGACAGGAGGAGAATTTGATCCTCAGGATACATTAATGATAGGTGATGTAAGACATTTTTAATTGCTCCCTCTCCTACTGAATCCCAACATTTGCAACACTTGACACAGACATGCACATGAACCTGCTCTCCCAGACCTGTGGGAGCCACACCTCTGCAAAGAGGCAAGTCAACACCAAAGGACAAAGTCCTTGATGCAGAGCTGCATGTTTTCAGCCCATGCAGGCTGCAGGATGAAGGGGCCCTGGCAGTGCAGGCAGGTGTTGGGATACCGGGAGCAGGAATAACTCGCGCAGCCTCTGCAGAGCCGTTCCCTGGGAGGAGAGGATCACCCTGCAATGCCATAAAACACACTCTAATACTGCTCAGTTACAGTCACAGCCCCTGCTCCTTCCTGGGAAGGACAGAGCCTCTTCCCATGCTGTATGCCATGCTGCAAAGAAAAGCAAAAAGGTTTTAAATGTTCTTCATCATCTAAGGTGCAAAACATTCCTTCTAGGTCTCAACCGTGGTGACAAACATCTTGAGCATACGTGTAAGGACCTGGAGAATTCTCTCTCCTTCCTCTGAAATCCCTTTGTCCCTATCAGTAATTTATCTCCTGTGGCTGTTGCTGACAAGAGAACAGCTTTTTCACTGTTCTCCCACAAAATATACATCCAGGAGTCAAGCTTGGTGTGGGGGGGAAATAATCTTTCCTAACTGCCTTGCTAGTGCAGGAAGCTTGAGCTTATAATAGGTGTCAGGGTTGCAGGACTGCCCATTCCCTGAATCATTCTACAAATTAGACCCTGGGGGCACTGTTAGCTTTAATTTATAATAGAACAGTATGAACAACAGCCTCCAGAGGAAAGATGTGAGGAAGACTAAAAAGTGAAAAAACAAGCAAGCTCATGAGCAATTAGTAAGAGGGGGATTGTATTTGTCCTTTAAATAAACAGAAAATGAATGTATACCCTGTACACCGTGCAGGGAAAGACACAAACAAGATCTTGTTCCTCAGACTTATGCTTACTGCAAAATCCCATTTTCTGGTTTGGGAATACTGTATATTGTGGCTGTCCAACTTGCCCTTAACTATGATACTGCAGAATCATATAAAAGAATTAGGCAAATTATTTCCGTTGTGCTTTTTTTGTATAATTGCATGCCCCTGAGGTACAATTCTGTGTGCTACGCTTCAGACAGAATTTTCTAAAAATCCTACTGTAATAACACTACGTTACATCATCACACAGAGCCCCTATAATTAAATTATTCATTTCATAAGCTTAGCTATTAAACTGTACCAAATAGTTTGAAGGAAGAAATACAAAGTGTTATGAATAAAGGTAAATTACACTGTATTTTCCAACACATCAGCTGCAGATCCCTGTAATTGTTCTCTCGTTTCACACTAACTGGAACCACCACCACCACCTCACAGCATCCATTCTCCCTGTTTTATCTTACTATCACTGCTGGCCCAAGTTTCACCTGTACATAAACCATTGTTCTTTGAGGCCAAAAGCCAATCTTTTTTTGTGAATCAGAGAATACTCTCTTTTCTCAGTCCCTTAACACTTTAAAGCATAATGCTATTCAAGCAGGCATGTGTAACATCACAGCATAATGTCTAGAGGGGGAAAAATGGGAACAAAAATATTATCTGTGAAGCTACAAAACTAAAGTTATAAAAAAAGTTTTGACGTCAGTTTTTTAAGGAATTAAAGAAGATTAAAACAAATGTATGGACAGAACAAAAGGAAACAAAAAAAAATACACTGGCATCTGAACAGAATAAAAATCAAAATGGTGACATGAAAAAAAAACAACAAAACCAAACCCAAAACACAAATGCATGCTAAACATAAACTAAGTAAGAGCTATAAAGGACTGACTTAGACATTTGTCATCTACTTCTATTATTACTGGAACTAATATCTTAGTTAAAATGCAGTAACTTTATACTCTTAATCCCAAAACATCATGGGAAATGGTGTTTTGGGAACTGAAAAGTTCAAGTTAAGTCTGAAAGGCATCAAAAGTAATTTCTTCTAAACAAGGAAAACCACTGTTCTCTGGTGAGATTCATTAGGGGTTTCTGTGTTTAATGGCCTACTGAAACACAACCACCAAACTCATGTTACTGCTTCTCCAAACATTTCAAGGGTAAAATCATACCTTTGACATCCTCATCTTCGATGGTCGTGTTGGAACTCTCTGTTGATTCCTGTTGAGAAGTAAATATGAGTGGAATGTATAAAACAAGCCAAGCCTTACTTGCGTGCCTTGGAAAATGAGGGGATTAGTTACAGGAATCATGCAAAGCCTTGAAGCGGGGCGGGATGTCATTCACAAACAAATGGTCACACACTGATTGAGACATTTCCACCTGAAAATGGATGTCAAACATCGCCATTCTCCACAGGAGGGAACAGAAACACAATTCCTGCACTCTGATGCTTTTACTTCATAAGAATGTACAGGAAAGTTGTTTTTTTTCTTTAACATCCAACTGTACAAAGTCCATCTGAAATGTATGAATTACCTCAGCCAAGTAGGAGAGCTTGCCATTTTAAGCTTAGTGATTAAACCAACTGTGCAAAATCAGTCATTCCGTTCTAATTTCACCTTCTAAATATGCAGGCTTCTGCAAGCTACAATTTACAATTGATTTCCTGCTCATGTGACTTATGGAAGTATATTCCAATGAAGTCTCACAGTGATCTGAAGCATACTGGATCAGATTATCTCATTTTTATACTGGCTTTGTGATTTTATTTTTTTTTTTACTGATTTTTTTTTTTTAGGATATGAAGAATTGATGAATGTATGATAACAACTTTGACAAACTAAGGCATCTTTGTAGCAGTATATTTCAACCAACCAGTCATGCAGAGGAATGACTCATCTATCAGACAGTTTACTCTTAAGCCATTGCACTTAAAAAGGCAAGGATATGGTATCTCAGTCTTTCCTTAATTACCAGAAACATGAAATATAATGGGCAAATTCAACAGGGCACTGTCAAATCTAACAGCTGCAGAGAGCTGGAAAGTTTTAAGCTAGGTGTTTTTTTTTTATCTCTATACTTTCTTGAGAAAGAAAACATTAATTTTTTTAATTTGCAGCTCAATAACAAGGAAGGTGAGCTGATCTGTTTTTATCTGAGAGAGAAGACAGGACTGGTATTGCATTTAATTCTTGAAAGGATTTTACAATTAAATAACCAAAGGTAAATTTGCCAGTGCCCTTCATTTACTGTGTCCTCACAAGGCTGAGCCAAAGGAATGTTCAGGAGGGCTAATGCATTACTCAGACCTTCAAAACCCAAATGTGCATTGATAAGTCAAACTTAGAGAGGAATTAATTCACACACAAACAAAACTCAACGAGCCACCATGCTGTCCCTGCCCTGGCTGTGTTAGACGTTCCATTCTACACGGACGTATCATGCTCTAGCACTTCAAATATTAGATAAAGTACTTACAAGTGAACAAAAACCTCACACAAATACGAGCTGTAAACACCATGCAAAGCTCACAGGGCAGATGTAGCCTCTAACACTGAAGTATCCACTCCAGTTGCCACACTACAAGGATCAGTCTTTCAGACAAATGTAGGAGGAACTCTCCGCATTAAGTGGTTCGTTTGTTTGCTGTGACCTTTCGGGACATTGAGTATCTTAGCTGCTGAAATGATGTAATAAAATCAAGTAGATGTAGTCACGCCAATATTTTATCTGGGTTTTCTGGGCTTTAGTGGACTTCAGCGATAAAGATCAGCCTGCTGTTCAAACACAGGCTGCTCATGGCCTTTGGCTTTGAGCTTGGGGAGCTGAAAGAGTAGTAACACGAAAACACAAGTTCTGTGTTGGACAGATGCAGGGGACATCGAGGATAGGGACACACAAGCACAACACACACCATCAGCACTTCCATGCTTGAGGAATGTCTGCATGCGTTATTATTTCGTCACTCAGATCCACTCCTTCTCTTATGAAATAACCATAGGACGTTAAGACTAGATAAATGGGATGTGAATTAAGTCAGCACTGCAAACAGTGAAATTCTTGTTGAAGCGTAAATTCTTTTCAGGAAACCTAGGAACATGTGTTATATGTAAATGATGGTATTTCCTGGCCCTTTTCAAGTCCATGCATGAAAAAAACAAAACAAAACACGTTTTAGGGATCAGCTGCCAGACGCAAACATCACAATACATGAGAAAAAGAAAAGAGCATGAAGAAAACATGTAAAAATCAAAAGACCTCTTTGTCACTTGAAAAGTGGAATTTTTTTTGGAAACTGCCCAGTGATGTTATGGAAGAAAACCAAAGTCCTGTGCAAAGACATGTCACGACACAGTGTATTAAGCATGCTGAGAAACAGCAGATGGGATAAACTGAAATGACATCTTGGTCTGAGGCGATGACTGCACGTAAAACTCGCTGGGATCGTCTCACCGCTCTCTGAGAACAGCACTCTCAGGTTTCCCTTAGACCGCAGCATTTTTGGCTGAAATGAGAGAGACCCCCTGCTCCCCGAGCTGGGCTGCACAGGGTACTGAGCTTTGCTCAGTGCAATCCACTCCCCCAAGAGCTTCAGGAGCTCAGAAGCAGCAGGACGCACGCAGCAGATGGACACGGATGAAAACGGGCTCGAGAGACATCGGGTGTAACAAAGATGAGATTTTCCTTCACAAATTGTTGGAATGGCCCTATTGTGCTGTGGAATAGTGGATGGAATGTGTGGTGTGGAAAAGCAAGACGGAGTTGATTCTTTCTGAATACCTTATTTCCATCAGGGTTGTGGATTACTGTAGTTTGGGGCTCCTGAGCGAGAACAAAATAAAGAGAGAAAGAGTTCCCATTGGTAAATACATTTTCATTGGTGTGATGGAGCGCAAGAAGAGCCAGCTCACAAATGCTGAACACTGACAAGAGTTAAAACAAATGTTAACTGTCGCCAGGGGATGAAACTGGACGTCTCTAACACAGATTTCCTCAACAGCAAGCCAGCAAAAAAGGCCATCTCACCTAATGCAGCAGCATGCAGAGACCTTATTCAGGAACAGGGTGTGCAGGGCTTTGAAGCTCTGGGGACCTGCCGAGGCTCCTCTGGACAAGGGCAGGCTCCGTGTGCTTTCCTGTCTGAACCTGCACAGGCAGGGTGGCCACAAATCTTTAAGCTTTAATAACCTCTTCTCTTTCATCACGTTTGCTCGCATTAGCATGAAGCAATCAAACAGAAATGCAGCAGAATTGATAAGGATTAAGGATGAGTACCCCTAGACACTACTGTGCTTTGGAATGTGTAGACTGCCCTCAACTCCTGCCTTGGCAGAGCTGAACAAAAGCGAGCGAGAGAGATCTTTGTGTCATTTATAAATGGAATTGCCCCAAATGCTTGACCCTTAAGAGAAGGTTCAATAATCTTTGAAATGGCAGCTGGCCAGCACGCTTTCAGCATGGGCCATGGGGTACGGCTCCGTCTGGGAACGGACTGCCATAAACTCCTGCATGCAACCTGCTGGCTCGGCTTTGGGAAGGACTTACTGTATGTGCCTCAGTGCCAGCTGCTCAAAAAAAATTCCAGGGGAAAAACGCTTCCAAATGTGTGTGAATTACTGAATTTTTGAAGTTTTATATACTCATGGGAAACAACAGGTCACAACATGTGTACTTAGGCACTGGCATTTGCACTGGTGAGCCCTGTGATACACAGGTGCCTTAGAAATAGGGCTATTAATAAAAGCGAGACTGCAATGAACATCCAGGAACATTACTTTGATTTGTAATATGTCCTTAGCAAAGCTTATTAGTGAGTAATGTCTCCTGCTGATTGAAATGGAAGAGAAACAAGCAAAATGTTTAGCTCTAGATGCCTCTTGATCCCAGAGAAGACTTGCAAAGTCCTGCTGTGTTTCAGGAAATACGGAATGAAAATCTGAATAAGGTCTGTTTCATGGCAGCCTAGTCATAATCCTGTTAGCTCTCCTGGATATCAATACTTGGACTTAGACAAAGCCGAGAAAATAATAAGAGCTGATTTTTAAAAATTTTGTTGGTGCAAAAGGTTAGCATTAGAAGGTGGAAACAGTCATCAGGCAAAGAGCTAAGAGCAACACCAAGCGCATTCTACTCACTTTCCGGCACAGCATGCAAAAAATTCAGCTATGGTTACAAATGCTACGACTCTACCGCATCCAGCTTCCATTTAACATTTTCTGTCAATAAACACGCTCTAATGGATTTCCTCACAAAAAAAAGGCAGCATAATTCAAACAAAAAGGTTTTCCAAAACCTGTTTTTAGAAAGCAAACAGAGTAAATGCATGAAAAAGCAAAAAAGGAAAAAAAAAAAAAAAAAAAAGAAGAACAAACAGAAGACAGTCAAAAACTTCCAGATAGCATGAGAAGGAAAATTCCAGGTATACCAGCGCCGGGGTAGGAATATTTTCCTTGGGGCTGGTTACCACGTTGGTTTTGTTGTTTATCTGTAGGTATGCAGAAAACAGAAACAGACAGGCCTTAGAACTCGCGGTAGGCACCGTATCTATATCTCTGCACACAACATCTATAGACAGGTATCGGTATCTATAGATAGATATAGATATGGAAATAAAGAATACAGAAAGATGAACTTAGGAACTTGCAGGAACACTAACACTAGCTCTGGGAGCTGGCTGGCAGCTCCTCCCCACGGGCTGCCAGAGCCCTGCACCAAGGCCTAGGTAAGGGATGGATGAGTTGAGCCAAGACACTTAAGAGAGAGCCCTTAAATAGCAGCTAAGCACATCTAAGAGGAATAAAGAATTAATACGGGCTGCAACAAAGTCCTAAATAGCCACTGCCATTTCGTGACATGCAATGGTGTTAAGTCATTGCACCCAATAGTTCTTTGTTTCTAATCGATTATCCCTACCATAAATAATATTTGATTATTCTTAGCGCTCCAAGAATCTGTGATTTGTTCTACTGGATTCTGATTCCACCTTGGAATAAATATGATTGATACCAGAAAGAGACTAGTGCCCCTTTAGCTTTTTTGATGCTATTTTTAGCAGAGACTCATCAGCAGCTTCTCAGTTTTGGTACTGTGACTCACAAGCGCGAGGTTTCCCACTACGGTACCTGCAGTTTTACTCCAGCCATCAGCACCTCTCTGCTTAACTTCACATATAGGCCCTCATGATACTTCTTAAGCTTAGCACAGTGCTATACATTCTGCCTTTTCTATGTACTAAATATTAATTCAAATTAAACTGCTCAGCAGGAAGTTTCAAAGTATCTGATCCTTTAAATCCATTTTTTAAGATTTAACTTTCATTAATACCATGGGGTATGGGAAGAACAAATATTAAAAATAGTGTAGCGAGCCACTTTTTACATGCACTAAGAAGCAAGATTTGAATATTGTAAAACTGGTTTGAAAGATGTATTTTTCTTCTCTAACAAAAATGAGGAAAAAATACTATATACATTTTGGTCATGTTCAATTTTAACAACGGTGGTCCAAAGCATCATGCAGAATTATGTATAGAGATACAGATCATCTGAAAAGACTCTGATCCAAAAAAACAAGTTCTACTGAACCTTCTAGTCAGAGTTCTTAGTAATAAATGTGCAAGGCAAAACCAGAAATGCCTGAAATTGTTTTGTTAATGGATTTTCCTAAAAACATCATTAACTTTACGGAACGGAAAGAAATGAAATTCACAGACTCCTTGTCCTCAGCGCTTTTTGATGATTATTTTACTTTGGGCCAGGCATGGCAGCTGACATGTGGATTTCAAGAACTGAGCCTGCAGGTGAAGTGCATCTTACTTAGGATACGTTTAAATTATGGAAATGTCCACAGGATTTGCAGTAATGAATTACAGACTGCAAATTTTCTAATTTTTAACCAGCATTTAACTGGGTTTGAAGAATATAAAGTAGTTTTGTTAGTTAATAAGGGAACATTATGTCAACACTAAATGTTATTTAATAGTATTTGTGATAGAAACCATTTTTCTGTATAGAATAAAAATAATTTTCTTTGATTTAAAAGTTCATGATGCTATATGGCAGGAGGATGAGGAGCACTTATTTTTTAAACAATGGTTTTTCTCCAGAAATTGTCATTAAGAGAACATACGAGTCATTATTGAGTTGCAAGTGATTAAGCCCTGACTTGGCTTAGTTATTGTCAAATAAATTTCATTTCTCTATGCATAATTACAGCTGTAAGCTGTAGGATTGTCTGAAGTCAGGGCTGGGAGAGAACAGACACCTTTGTGCATAAAGTCTTTCATGGGGAGATCTAAGTATTGGCAAGTATTTTATTTGCTTTGATATTTATGGGATTCTGAGATGGACAGAACCCTGAAGTCCTTACTCAGGAAAAAACTTGAAAGAAAACCCCATCCATTTCAGTAAATGAAAAGTTCCACTGGAGATCTGCAGAAGAGTGGGAACATAAAAACAAGGCTGCCTGACAGCACACTAAACCTTCCAAGCAAGACAAAAATTGCATATCAAGTTGCATAACTACATATTTTTGTGACAGTGTAGTCATTGAGAGACTACGATTCAAAAGACCCTAGCAAAAAGCGAATAGACATAAAGAAAAAGCATTAAGGAAAGAAATGAAGATTTCACCAAATTTCATACAGTCCTATTCAGTAGCAGCTTAACACAAAAACTCAAGTGGTATCCCAAATGAGTGCTCTTGGTTGTACACATAAGGAACACAGGTTAGTCAAAGTTCAATTCCAATTTTGCCTGAGTAAGGAGAGCAGGCTTGGGTCCATACTCCCTTGGTGGAAACCCTATGAAAATAAACAATATTCATTACAGCTACTGCTGAAAACTGCAGGAAATCTATTCAAAACTCCTTCAGTGAGATATTGAGAATCCAGCCTTCATTAGGAACAGAAAAAGAATGTCATTCAAAATACAGTTATTTCTTCCATGTAAACAGAACTTGGTAAAACCCTTTGAAACTTTGAGAGAAAACAGCAATAAGCTGTACAAGTTTTCTCTCTCATAGAACAGACAATCTATCAACACATGGTTCATTTTGCAAGTATTTTTAACAGCAAAGGGAAATAATTCCAAAAGGATTACGATACTGTCATATGAAACAGTTACTTCAAAGTTAATTTGTGCTTAACCAGTGACCTTCTGTTTGTTGTGAAGGAGAATGTTTCATTGTTGCATCGCTTGCCAAAGGTCACTCTCTGAGGTGTGACAATGGTGCAGGACAGACACACACACACTCCAAACAGCTGGGCATGACTGGAGAAATCATTATTGGCCTTTTATCCACAGAATATGAAAATATTTTAGCAAACAAAGCCCGTATCTTGGGGCTTTATCTTTCACATGTTATTTCTGTAACAAAAAGTTAGCGTACGCTTTGGGTTTGGGATCCTGGCGATAACCACGCTGCACCTTCCCGGTGACCCTCCTTTGGATGCCGTGGCTCTTGGTCATGGAATTCTGCATTCACCCAAGCAACAAAGGATTTACCTACAGAACTGCACAGCTGCTCACACCTGACCAGCAGTTCTTCCTTTCCAAGGAGAGTTGGCTTCCCAGTGAAAGGTGTGGATGAGGGCCTTGTGCCTTCCCTCTGCCGGCAGCAGCAGGAGGCAGAGCCCATCCTCAGCAACCTCAAAGGTCACATTCAAAACCACCAAAAACAGCAATGGAGGAAGTTACCATGCGGGGTCACAGAGGCCAACTGAACACAAGACCGGAGAGCAGGTTGAAGAGGAAGAAAAGTTATTGAGACTGTCAGCTGGGACATCTTGGGACACAGCCCTGAGCTGTGAAGGAAGCTAGCTGGGAAACTGTAGTGTGGGAAGGCTGGAAAATTGGATTTTTTACTCCTGAGCATTTAGCATGGCATCTTGGGCTACAGTGGCTCAATTAATGCAGTACTGTATCACTATGCAAAGTGTTTTGTGTTACATTTTATGATATTAATGCTATTAGCTTTTGAAATAAGGAGGTTTTAAAAATTAAGAGAAGGCTGTTACAAGATTACTATTTTGTTACTATTCTTATTTACTAAGAACAGCTGCATTGGCTGATGTTACATCTTCTTTTTAGGTTTTTTATGTCCCCAGGTTAAAAAAAGTAAAGACTTGCTTGAAAGAATGGCTGAGCGATTCACTGTGGATGGCATATAGCAACTGCAGGCTTTAAATCTGCAAGGTTGTACCTTAAAGTCCTGCAGTTCTCACAGTATGTTAACAAAGCTAAATGCAACTGTTGGATTTCTAAGTGTGAATGTTTCACAGGAGGAAAAAAAAAATCTGTCGATAAAGATCCTCACCATCATCTGAACACTCGAACTGGACTTCCTTTTCTGAATTGACCAGTCAGAGAGAAAGGAAAAGAAGAAAACGTGACTGGTTGGATTTGCAGTATCAATGCATGGAGTACAGTATATTTCTCTTTTGGCTTTTTAAAATTTTTAATAAGAAAAAGACAGCTACAGCTGTTGGAAAGGGTGGAAAAATGCTACAGAGTAGCTCAATAACAGCAACGACAAAACCAGACTTCCCCAGATGTACATTTACTCCCTTTGCTCCACATGACCATGCAGTCTAACAGCAGACACATAACATGTACTGAAAACCAAAGAACTGAATCCCAACAGGTTCAATTTAGGCAAAATTTTGGCAACAATTGTTTCCCATATTATAACTGAGATTGCGATAGAACAAATAGCATCGTAGACCTGTAGGAGGAATGATATTTAAAAAGGAAAACTGGTCAGAGAGAGTGCATAGAATTTATCTATTCCACAATAAAACATGTCCAGGGTTTTCCAGCAGTGATAGAATCATTCCAAATGTGTGCTTCTCCATGTGACTGGCATCTCCACTGCTTGGCAGTGAGAAGCACTGAAATGGTACTGTACTCATTTTTTTGTAGGTCAGGCTCAGGATTTTTTTGATCGGCAAAGTGTGCATATGTCAGACACAAATATACTGTGAATCTGGTATTTAAGGGAGCATTTATAATGTTTTGTTAAAGTAAGACATTAAGATTAAATAGAAAATTAAAATTCAGGTCAAAGACACCCTTCTGAGTAAACACACAGAGCACAGAAGAATATCTTTTGAGTCTTATAATAAAAGCTTGAGGCATTACATTTGTCTTTAAGAGTCCCCTGAGAAGAAAAACAAAATACATTTTCTGCTGAGGGATTTTTTTTTTCCTGTTTTTTTTTTCCAAAGCATTTATACAGAACGTTCATTTGTGAGGCATCTCTCCTCCTGCAGGGTCTGGTGACGTGAGAACAGGAGCTCTAAATCATGTACGAAAGCTGCCAAAATGTTCCCTTCTTAGCAAGGTCTCTTAGTCAGGATGAGCTGATCCGAGACAGTAAACCCCTCAAGTTCTGCCAAATATAGCAAGTACATCTGGCAGAACACACCTCATGTGGAGCCAAGCCTACCCATACACTTTTGGTCTTCCACGAAATCTAAGGGAAAGTCAAGGGGAAACACAAAGAGGCAACAGAGCTGCACATAAACACTGATGCCTAAAAAGCCCACCAACAAACCATTATCTAAAGGTTAATTGATAACTTTGAGTCATTAATTACATAATCATTCTTCATTAAAAAAAGCAAGAAAAAGCATTTTCTCCAGTAGTTTTCTATCTGCTGCTTACTTAATGCTAGCTTTTCAAGTATTTTTTATTTAAGCTTTATTTCATTTCTAAGCTTCACCTACTAACTTTAACCACTCCAAACAGCTAGTGAGAAGAAGCACTTACTAACAGATTCTATGAAGGAAGGAAACAGCAATAATTAATTCTAAAACCTGGAAGAAGTTAGATATAGGCAGAGACTAAGAACATATCTTTGAAATGGAAAGCAGGTGTTTAACCTACCTTAACTCCATCTGGCTTTTTCAGTAAACTCTTGGCTGCTGTAAAATGAGACAAATAATTTCAGTGTCAGGTGGTTCCCCTGAAGTCACCCAGCTGTGCAGCAAACCCCCAGTGCCCCCCAGCTCCAGGTATATTCTCAGCTTTTATTTCCTCCTTTTGTTTCTCTGAGCAAGGGGAACAAAATCTTTAGGAAACCACCAATCCTTAGGATTGTCAAATTTCTCTTTCTCCATTGACTAAAGCCGCAGGTTGACTGTACTTCTACAAGGAGAGAGCTCCTTGGGTGGCAGAGAGGAAATGGAAGTGGGGCAAGTGTAAAAGCAGCAGCTTAGAATATATCCATTATGAAAAGGAACTGTTTTGGTGGCAGGGACTTGGACTAGGTGGCTGCAGAGCCCACTGGTATCTCAATTTTGGTACCAATACCATGATTCCCCTCTGAGAACTTCCCACCCTTACAGCATCAGCCTCCTTCCAGGAAAGGGCAGCACAGTTGCAAGGCAGAAAGGAAGGAGGATTTGCTAGCCAAGGGCTGTTGCAAAGGTTTGTTGCCCGTGAGGCAATAGGAACAAATTCTAGGCTTTGCTTCAGCTCCTAATGAAGAAAACATGCTATTTTCTGAATTGTGTTGTACACTGACCAAATTTCTTCAAAATTTCATTTGCCATAACGTTATTCACGTGCCAGGCTTTAAATTCCGCCACTTAAAAGTGGCATCAAGTAATTCCAATTTACTAAATTTGGAAGGCTAACGTGCAAACAAGCACAGCACAGCTCTGAACCTGAAAACATTCACGGCAGAAATACGTGCTGGCTGACCTACCAAATCCATATAAACTATTCACTAAAGCGTAAATGCTTCATGAATCACTGCCAAAGACTTGAAGAATAATAAATTACCCAACAAGCCTGCTGTTATTGGGGTTTTATTGTTGTTTATGACCCAATCTTCCCATCAGAAAGTGCTCCACAGCTCAGGTTGTAAGAAATTGCTGTTCTAAATATAAGGGAGACAGTCCTGACACGGAGCTCCCATCATTACTGGCATCCTTATCTTAAAAAAACCCCCAAAATCCAAACCAATTGGACCTTGCATGCCCAAGGCTGCTCAGACTGGCTGAGGATACCAGAGTTATTGACTATGTGGTTTATGTTTAAAGCTAATTCTTGTAATTGTGGCTTATTTTAGAGCTGCATCTGCACTAAGTACTCATTTTACAGCACAGAGAATGAAGGATCACCTCAGCAACTGTACAGAAATGACTAATGTCCACTGTTGTGTTGTTTACATGAAATAAACCCTGCAAAGTGAAGCCAGGTTGATGTTCTTCTAACTTCACTAATATATCAGCCCTCCAAATGTGGTTTATTAACTATGGACATCAGCCAACACTACCATTAGAACTCCCATATGGCCAAAATGAAAATATAAAATCATTTTACAGCTAAAATGAACAAAAATAAGCTTGCCTGTATTGTGCTGCATGTTTTTATTTAAAGAAACATGTAAGTAAATATTAAAACCAAATTGTTCTCCACATACTTTGGAGATCGGACACTCCCTGTGGCAATATGTGCTTTCAGGACCTGAGGCAAGAGGGCCTTAGATTTTACATTACCACAGATATTGTGGGAACTCCATTAACTTCAGGAATTTATTTAGGGTAAGCAAAGGGAAGGAGATATTTCTGAAACCTAAGCACAAAAAACCCCAGAATTGAATAGCTTTCAAAGCCTGTTTTATAGCCTTAGCCCTTACTAAAAACATGGGAAACCAGAAATAAATTCTTAGAGACTGCTGCAGACTCAAAATTCCGCTAAATTTGTGCATGAAACTTCTGAGTTCTTTTGATGCTTGACAAACACTCCATGTTCTATGTGAACAATTAAATGAGAGGCAGTAAAATGAGGGCACCACAAGCAATAACACCAAGTATTTATTGCGTGTCCTTCGGAACGTGCCCAGCACGGATTACTCTGCACTACTGCATGTTACAGGACATATTCCGTGACTCTGCTGCGTTTGGCCTGCAATGGATTTTTAATAGTAGTTGGATTCATCTTTCTTTCATCACAGATACCGCATACAAATCAAATATTTAAAGAATTTGCAGGAGCAAAGCAATCAGCGTATTCTAAATTAAGCCCACAATGAGAGATTTCTTGCAACTACAAGCAAGGGCTATAAATAAAACCTAAGGCAGCACTACTAGGGCAGAAAGCAGACTGGAAACAAATGGTTTGTGAAAACATGGAGAAATTAAAGTGATTGAGGACAAACAGCAGTTTGGATTGAGAAGAGAAAAAAGATGTTCCTTTCACGTGCTGAGGGTCTTACCTCACAAGAAATATACATTCCACATAAAAGGAAGAAAAAAAAGGAAAATAAAACACTTTTATAACCACATCATTATGGACAAATGACCTTCATAAGCATGCTTTGAAATGAAATACAATGAATAAAGAAACAAAAAAAAAATAAAATGTCATCAAGAAAAAACACCGGTGGCTATGGTGTGTAAAACAAGAAATGACAGGTGAAAAAATAAAAAAAAAAAAAGCCCAAACCCCTGTTTTTGCTTTTCATGATGAAATACTATTTAAAAACTACTTCAGCTTTCTTGGTTCATGGAAGTTGAATTTGATCCTTACATACACAGACAGTGACAGTTATGAAAAGGGATGAGGAATGACTTGTTTGTTTGATATTTAACAGTAATTCATTTTTACAAGAAGTGCCTTCCCACCTTCTAAATGGATTGGCAGACACTGGAATTCATTAAGCACTAACTCAAGGTAATTTAGATAAATGCAGTCCTCTGTGTTTAGGTGTGTATTAAAGAAGGGAACTTAACTAAGAAAGAAATTGCATTTCAAGTACTATGCAAATTAAACAAGTTGTTCTTGCATTCATGATTATGTAATTTTTTTGGATGAGTCAGTGCTTATTATTATTCAAAACATGCCCAGAGCACTATCATGTTTTTGTCTGTACAGTAATTTATGTTACACTCCAATAGTTGCATCACAGAGTAGGAGGATATGTAAAATTACTGAGTTTTAAATCTGGTGTTCTATTTCACTATTCACTGGAAATCTCAAATGGGAAAACACAAAATTCAACACAGCATCAATATTCTGGCAATTCCACTGCTTTGGACAATTCTAACTCTGCTAACAGCAATTTTAGCTTTTGCTATTAAAATTTGTTTAGTGTAAGACCTAAATCTCCAGAGTCATCAGGACAAAACTGTTCCATCAAGAGGAAACAACTCTTCTTACATCCAGCAGGCACTGCTGGACATTAGAAAGAAAATGGGGACTCATGTTACTACATTTCTTACTCCTTAGCAAAGCAATAAAGAAATGAATGTGTACTGATGTTTTTTTTAGTAAAGGATACAACAGAATCATGGAATGACTTTTCATGTATATAAAAACACAGAAGTTCTAAATGTTGTTTGGTGATGCTTGTGCATCTGGAGCTATATGCATAAGTTTCACTTTGCCTGCACAAGAACAAGCATGAAAATGCTGCCTGCCTTTGACAGGTAACAGTCAAAAAGCAGGGAAGGAGCTCAAATTCTACAGAAAAAGCAGACTGTCACCTATAAGACAATTTCTTTGGCCCAAAGAGATTAAATACTTGCGTGCTTCATCACAGGAAATAAGTAACATGATATATGCAATACTTAAGATGCTCCTGAACGAATCCTAATTAGATCTCAGCTTTCACAGACATCAAAATATAAAGACCACATGAATCTGGAGCTCAATGAACATACCTGAGAAATTTCTGGTAGCCAGCATTGTTGTCAAAATGGCCCCCTGTGTACACACACATTTTCTCAAATTAGCACCACACTTGTGTAAAACTCTGAATGCCAACACAATACAACAAAAAGGAAAACACAGGAGTAAATGACACCAATTACTGAATTAACCCTGAGAGAAAGGATTATCTGTGCACTACCTCTCACATGCCATGTCACCACTGCATAAACTGTAATTTAATTTCTAATTACACACCTATTGGCAATCTTGATATCTCAAATATTTACCACCTGTCAGAATGTAATGCACAAGCCAGGAGTATTTAGAGTCCATTATTCAAAACACACTGATGAATATGGAAGAGACTTTACTATTGTTCTCAGATTTTTTTTTTAGGGAGGAATAGGAGGTTATTTGCAATGCACACATTAGATAAGCTCACATCTGTAAAGTTATCATGTCTGGTCAGGAAAAAAACAAAGCATAATTCAGAAGAATAACCTTAAGGATTTTCCATCAAGAAAATAATTTCAGTGTGTCTAAATACACAGGATGGTTATAATTTTTAATTAGAAAAGCTAAGTTCTATTCACTTTCATGAAAAGTTGAAGATCTTCATGCCAAAAGCTGATCTTCTAGCAATAGGTCATTTAAGAAGAATATTTAGAAAAACTCTGCACAGAGACTATTTGTTTTGCACAAGTTTTCATTCTTACCTTTAGTTTCCTTCTTGCATTGAATTTCTTCAAGCAATCTACAGTCTCTTGTCTGTGCATCATAGAGGCAACAGTAGAACGTTGCTGAAAGAGGAAAACAATTATTTCAAGGCAGCTGTTTAGCTGTTTGTTTACTCTACAACACATATTACACACCCATGGTCCCCAGCTTGGGCCTTTAATTTCTACCTTGTCTGACTACCCCATTGTGCTCCTTTTACTCAGCCTTTTCTATGTGTGAAATCCACTTGAAAAGTCATGGTGTGGAACATGCTGAGAACAGGAGAGAAGTCCTGGATCCAGGAACAGCCAGGCAACCTCTGCCACCTGCAAACTGACTTTTCAGAAGTCCCTTAATTCCCTGCTTGCACATCTCACGCTTATCTGAATGATATCAGGAAAATGAAGATGCAAAGCATTATCTAATCCAAAGTTACTTTCCTGCACTTTCTTCTCACTGAGAATTTAAAGTAACGCTCTAATTTTTGCAGAGAACGTTCTGCACAACACGGTCAAGGCAAAGGAGATAAATTTGCCAAAATCTTACCCCAAGCTGAGATCACTGATCATATCTGTGTAATTATAATTTTACAATTTATAGTTACACAGCTGCACGAACAAGAACAGAAGTTGTCCTCTAGACACAATCACTATATGCTGAAGCAAACCACAAGCTGATTTGTCTGCCAAGGGATCATGCTGAACCTGTGGAAATCACTTACACAGATCCATGGATGCTTCAGTGCTTCTGATGCTGTGATACGTTTCGCTGGGTTGATGGTGAGCATTTTATTGATAAGGTCTTTTGCTTCAGGAGTCACCGTGTCCCATTCTGGTGAGGGGAACTTCAGAAAAAAATACACGTGTGAGTGTGTATATTGTGTTGTATGATCTTTACACAATTTTACCTAAGGATCCTGTACTGGTTTCAAATAAGAGCTTAAAAATTACAAGACTCTGCCTTTACTTCATCATCATTTACAGATTATCTCAATCGGAGGACCAACAGCCTCTTGTCTGTTTAACATAATAAGATGAGATGATGCTGCAGAATTCATATGCCACCATCTCATCAGTTCTTCGCTTCTCCCTCTAGGAAACTCCTGCTTAGAGGTACAATTATAAATAACTGAACAGACAGAGTATGGTACATACATCATAAGCACCAGCCTTGATCTGCTGGTAAAGTCTGTGCTGGTCTTCATCCCAGAAGGGAGGGTATCCCACCAGGAGGATGTACAGAATGACTCCTGCAGAAAATTCACACCAGTGTTAAAGGCTTTCAAGGAGCAAACTCCAGAAATTAATTTTGTACCAAACAACCATGTAAAACAAAAGGCTCACGAGTATCATCCCAGCCACTGGGATGGGAAAAATACTGCCCCTTCATACTGGAAAAAACAGTAGAAGTGGGTTGACAAGATAACCTCTTATGGAAAACACAGGCAATAATGAACATTTGACACAACATCGAATTAGGAACACTGGAAATGTTTATCTAGCTGGAGAAATAATATTCCACGATTCTGGATGTTCTAGGAAAGTGCATTTTTAGCTTATGGTTTTATCATGACTTATATTGGTGTCTGCAAGATTGTGTTGTAACTACTCTCATGCAAAGCAAACTTGGGAAATTCAAATTTCTCTGTATTTGGTCAATAGGAAATTGAAATTAATTTAGACTAGACCTGCTAGTCTGACAGAGACGATTCCCTGTGACTAAAGGAAAGTGCTTTCATAAATACAACCACATACTAAGTGTGGGTAGAAGGGAAATAAGGAAACCAGTCCCTGTTCTCAGCTGGGGAGATCCCACTTGCCAGTACCTCAGAAGGCACTTTTGAGAGCTGGATGATTAAGCAATTGCTCTGTACTCCAGTTCAGAAAGTATTTAATTTTGCAGTTTACACCTGTAGATGGGGTTTATTGGTCAGACCAAATTTAAGGCTCCTTGTGAACCAAAACTAAATATCCAGCTCACAGTATGAACTGGTGTGTTTTCTAGCTAATTAGACATCATACACCTGCAGCTAGTCTTTTAGCTAGTCTTTGAAAGTGTGCTGTGTAGAGATGGAAAAGAATGCCATGATAACACAATTTAATAAATAACTTTTAAAAAAAGGAACTCAAAGTAACAAAAAATCCAATGACCTCTACTAGAAATTAATACTGAAGTTTATTAAATGAAGTTTATTCTGATGCACAATATCATGTACCCTGGATATTGTTTTTCACCCTTCAGACACTTTACGGTGGACTGAATATGACTTCAGAACAACATCTTACCGCATGCCCACATATCCACAGGTTTTCCATAAGGATCTTTTCGTAACACTTCTGGAGAAAGGTATCCTGGAGTACCAGCAAAGCCTGTCAAAAGGCAAGAAAACTCTGGTCAACATCTGTACGTGCTCTGCAAAATGCAAGTAATTCTCACCTCGGCCCGCAAGACCCAGGACAACATTTCCCAAGCCATGGACACCAACTGCTTCATTTGCCCATTTGTTTTTTACAGCACATGACCCAGAGGTAATGCTGACATTATGGGGGACCAACCAACAAAGCACAGGGGCAGCTACTGTATCCTATGTATAAGGAGATATATGTTGCACAAAATTAGAGCTACATCTAATAGGATCTCCCCGCTGTAGAACTCATTTCTGGCAAGTCATTCCACTTCTAGAAACCTCTTTACAAAAGTTTACAGGAAGCATCTCTGAAGCAATCTGGCCTTTAAAATTTTTATGTTCTTCATCCTTTATTCATTACCAGCAATGCTGCTTTCTCTGAGCAGAAATGCAAAATGTAGGTATAAATATTACTTTTCTTAGGACACTGTAACAGATGAAAACTTAATGACCACTAACAGTCTGCACCATTTCGGTGAGTGTGTCTGCTCTTTCAGGCATCTTTGCCTAAAATAAATGCTTGGAAATTCCTGAGGTGAGAATTTGGTGGTTTTCATGAAGGACCACATGCCATTTGTGCAATAACACCCTGGATCCCACAAAACTCATGACAGATGGTGATAACATATAAAGTATACAGCTACAGAAAAAAAGAAGCCTGTGCCCTGCAGTCACCAATTATTTTGTAGTGGGAGGGGGAAATGAAGGAACACATTGTGTAAATTCTACTGAAGAAAGAGTTAAAATACGGTCATGAAAAATAAGCTTGTTTTTTGCAGGCTCCTGATATGGAAGCTATGAATTGTTAAGGAGTACTATCACACAGGAAACACATCTTAAGCTTCTTAGAGAAGCTGAAATATAGATGTTCTAAGTGGCTTTAAATAGAGTGCTGTTTCATATCTCTTCTTGAGTGTAGTGCTCATTTTAAAGGGGAAGTGAAGTTGTCTTCAGTCTAAAATTTACCATAGCTCAATGAAGATTACTATGCAAGACTCAAAAATAAACTTTAAAGCAAAAAAAAATATATATAGTATTTAACTAACCTTATCTCTCAATGAAGATACAAAATACATCTAAACTGAAATAACTGGTACAGTTTCAGTACACAGAACCACAGAATGGTTTGGACTGGAAAGAACCTTGAGAATCATCTTTTTCTGAACCCCAACCATGGGCAGAGAACCTTCCACTAGACAAGCTTGCTCCAAACCCTGTCCATGGCCTTGGACACTTCCAGGGATGGGGCAGCAACAGCTTCTCTGGGCAGCCTGTGCCAGGGCCTCACCAGCCTCACAGGGAAGAATTTTTTTTCTATTATTTGATCTAAACCTACTCTCAGTTGGAAGTGATTCCTACTTGTCCTGTCACTACATGCTCTAGTAAAATAGTCTCTCCCCAATATCCTGAGCAGTTTAAAGCTGCAAACAGAGGGGTACACAGCCCTGATTTCAGTTAAAAAAATACAAAATGCACACTGAAATAGGTAACTTTAATTTATCAGGTTATTTTGTAACTGCTCAAAGGGATCCCTAAACAAGTGTGTACTTTTCAACCAAGTGCTGCTGCTTGTAATACCTCTGGCTAGCTAAAGCAACTCGCTGAGGACCAAGAGAAAATCCTGGCTTTGTTGAGCTCAACCTACCTGACACCTTCCCAGTATGTTAAGCACCTGTTAAGAGGGTGGCAAGCTTCAACTAAATCCTGTAAGGCTTTCTACAAACAGGCAAAGAACAAGTTTGTTTTGCAAACAGGAAAGACAGGAAAGTATCCTGTTGTGTTCCAACAGACAGAGCTCCAGTTAGTTTCTTGCTGAGGCATAGCCATGGTTCAAGCAGAAAAGGGACCGTAACACCAGAGCACTACACCAGAAAAAAGGAAAAAAAAATAAAAAAGAAAGAAAACCGTACTGATGCAGAACTATAATTAGAATCTGAGCACGCCATGAGTCACTAAGTGCTGCAGAATCCAGGAGACAGCAGAAAAATCTTCTGAAAGAAAGTGAGGAAAAGTTCAAAATGCCCAGTCCATTGGAGTTCATGTTCTGCCCTGTTAATGCAGTCCTAAAGCTGAAGGCCGGCACTCAGACCACTCTGGACAGGTTTTGCAGAGCAAGTTCCAAAAAAGGTACAGAACCCACTCATAGAATACCACAGTTTGTTTTTTTCTAAAAAAGAGCCCCATTAGACTACTTTCTTTTCATTACCTTGCTGACTCCTCCTAACATACATATTTTCAAGACATTCTGCTCCCTTCTCCCAAGTTCTCATGATGCTATGAGTCTAAACCAAGCATTTCACAAGAGCCAGAAGTGCAGTATTTTCCAGGACATTGCAAACTCCCCGGCATCACCTGCAGCTACACTAAGCACAGAAAATATTCCTGAAGTCAACTTCAATCTGCTGATTTTTTTCTTGAGATGCTTCCTGTTTGCCTGATGCTTTTGTCACCGTAACAAACCACTTGTATTTTGCTTTGTATCTATTCCACTCCTTTCGTACTGCTCTGTTTGTTGATGTGCAAGAGAAATCTCCTCCATCTTTTGTGGATTACTGAAATCCATTTATAAAAAGGCTGGATTTAAAACAACAGGCTGGCTTATAAAGCTGCCAACATATGTGCAATGGTACTGCCTGTGCATCTACATGTACTTAAAGCTGTGAACACTCAGCCTCCCAACTCACTGCCCAAAACCCCTTTCTGCTTCTGTTCCAAGCTTACAACCACTTTGTTCTGTTTCAAACTGCACTTTCTAGCTACTCTAAGGGCAAAGAGGCAGCTGCTATAAATATTTTATGCTGTATTTTTTTCCAGCTGGGATTTACAATAAATTTTTCCCCATGCTTCACATCTGTTCAAAGAGGGTGGTACGTGAGACACGTGGACCACAACTGTACATGCACTATTGTTTTAAATTACCAGTATTAAATATTTTCCACCATTCTCCTTGGGGCATCTATTAACTGTAACAAGTAATCTGTAATTAGTGTCTGGCTAAAGCCTCAGGTGCTCAATCCCCCCTATTTTTCATTAGTCATATTCCAAAGTGCTTCAGAATCCAACTTTCAGGTGTCTCCAGATGACATTCAGACAAAATGTTCTGATGACTGGGCAGGTACACTCAGGAACATTACCCTACTGTCTTATTCCTCAGTCACCTGAGGGGAAACCACTGGTCTCCCTCCCAGGTTCTTCACCTCTATTTCCTGCCTCTAGATACTCAGGAAAAAGTGGAAGAAAAGAGGTTGTGTGCACCTAAGTCAAATTTACAGGCTGTCAGAAGCTAGCACAAGCTAGGAATCCAGAAACACAGGTTTTCCAGGGTCAAAGAGTCTTACAGCTGCACGTTTCACTCTGGGTTGAGAGCGGGGCAGTTGAGGAGGCTTAACCACTATGCTGAATAAATGATGAGGAAAAAAATGGTATTTACTTACCAAACCAAGCCTGTTGTTCTCCCTGGACTTCGATAGCCAATCCAAAGTCCGCCAGTTTTACTGCTGCTCCCTTGGATTTGCTAGCTAGAAGTAAGTTCTCAGGCTTTATTCAGAGAGAGAAAACAATTGAGATGAGAAGATAAGTAAATACATTTTAGACACTTTATTTCCCCTGCCCCCTTTTTTTTTTAGTTACGCTAGTTTGGAAAAGGACAAATACTTGGAGGAATGAAAAAGAGAAGGAACTCATGAGTTTTTTTCCATGAAATAGCAAAACTTGCACTTCCCATTCCTATCTGGAAAGAACCACTAGGCCTGTAAGCAGCTTTCATGACCTCATGCCAGAAGAGTAAAAGGACAGCATGGAGAGAAGGAGTTGAGCCAGACTGGGCATATGGAGCTGTGACACCCCGCTGGTGTGACAGGACAGGTCAGAGACTGCCCAGAGCTCACTACAGGAAAAATGGAACAGGAAACTCCCAAAAGTCAGGGATTCATTGATAACTAGTCTAGCCCATGCAGTTTGCAGGATCAGGCATCTACAACTGTCAAACAGAAATGTTTTGCATGACATCCCAACAATAACAGCCCTGTCATAATATTTGTATTTCGAGGGCAGGTGTATTTACATGGCAAATCTTTCAGCAAAACCAGCACACCTACATTTGTGCCTGCAGAGAACATTCACAAATAAGAACGTTAGTTAAAGTTCCCACTTTGCTTTTCTTTAATAGGGTATGTTGGTCACATCTGAAATGAAATGCTATGGTACGCTCACACAATTAAAGGTAAAGGATTTGAAAGTAACAATTGTGTTCATTCTACCGTTCATAATGAAACCTTTTAACTCCAGTTAGCAAACACATTAAATGTAAATTGCCCAAAGACAACTTTATTGTATGAATGTTTGCTTTAAAAATACAACTATAAAAGTACCATAGAAATCGACAGATTATTTCAGAGAACTGTGATCCTAATAGCATTTTCTTGCCATATCTGTCTTTCCAATCCGCATCAATTTTAAAAAAGGTTTTGTTCTACATTTACAGAATAACAAAACCTCACTTTCACAGGTATTGCTGACTCCTCAGAAGCAATTTCTGCAGTGGTCTGGGACAAGGGACATCACTATAGCCAGGCTGCTGGTGGGGCCTCAATCCTGCAAACTCCTCAATGCGTATTCCAGGTTGAACCCAGCAGTAATCATATCGCTTCCAAGGGACTATTTATGTGATTGCAGTTAATCCCACACATGTACTGAGGCTGGAAACAATTAAGAGCATAAGCCTCTTTCAGCAAAGTCTATCTTTAATACATGTAGGTATCCAGCAAAATATGCTTGAGCCTAAGTAAGACCTCAGCCATGGTGATACTTGTATTAATTAACAACACAACGGGCCCGACAAACTCTTTAGTCTGAAGGTGGCTTTTTCCCCTCTCATCAAAGGACTGTTTTTTCAGCAATTTACCAACACTGTTCTCTTACTCATCCCTTTGTTGCTATGTCATAGGATTAGACAATATTAAAAAACTTTCATGAATAGTTGCTTGATGAGTCATCTATGTTCACAGTTTTAAAAACTGAGATGAAGGGTCCTCAGAACAAAATATAATATTTATATTCACTTAAGTTATCAGCAGCCACCTCAACTTCACTGTATGAAACACTGAGTGCGTAGCTGAGGACTCTGCTCTAGGTTCATCAACACTGATTTAAGCAGTGTCACACTCCCTGCCATTTAACAACACTCATTTCAACACACAGTCACCAAGTTCTGCAAGGTTTCCTCTCAGAATGAGACAAGTTCACAGTAATTAATTCCTGGAATGCTGTTCTTGTATAAACCTCTTAAAGCAACGGATGATCCTATTTGGTTGTGACCTTCAGGCAAGACAAAAGCAGTGAAAAGCCTCATCCTTTTGGATGAAATACAAACTCTACCCCACCGAGCACATACCGCTTTCTCAAAAAGTGATTTTGTTCAGAACACTGCATTTGTTTTCTGATGCTGGTTTGGTTTTTTTGTTGGCTTTTTTTGGTTTCTGTTTTCCTCTTGGGATTGTTTTTTTATTCCTTTGCACGTCTCTTCTCTGCAGAAGTACCACTTCAACAGATGAGTATGCTCCATATTCCTGATTTCCAGAATTCCTGATTTACTGCCATGCCAAAGACAACAGCCTTTTTGGCCATGCCACATGGGGCTGTGTGCTTAACCAACATGCAGCAGTCGTTTGAGGCTGGCCAGAGGCACGTGGGTAATTATCATGCATTAACTGGGAATGAGTGCAATTACTTGGGAAACATTAACAGCACAGCCAGGACTGGTTCCCCGGATTCGGTGGTGTCACCTTGTGCTCCCAGGAGATGGGCGGCAGCCAAGCATGCACAATGGCACTGTTAACTGCTAAAATTACTTACAAATAAATTAAAGTGATTTACGCCATACTTTTCCAAAGGTCTTGAATCCTTAAGGTACCAAGTATTTAAGGCTCTGTGTATTTTTCCTTGAATATACTTAAAGCACCCACTCTTCAGTGGAAGGTAAGAGGGTCATAACCACAAAAGTTTCACAAAAGCAGGAATGCTAGGGTGTGACAAGAACTGGAATTCCTACCTGGAAGTGCATTTTCACTAGCTGGTAAAGCCAGGTTGCCACTAATAAGTAAATTTTTTTCTGGGTCTAGGACCCACCACCATTCTGACTCAGGTCAGTGATTTCAAACACAGCAGCAACAAGCAGCTCCGTGGGTCATAAGAGCCTGCAAAAGCTCCTGTCCATTTGCTATTAAATAAGCCTAGAAGGAAAATTAAGTAAAACGAGATTACCCAAAACTTCCCCACCCCCAAGCACGCCATCATGTTGTGGACTGACTCATTGGAAAAAAAATCCATCAAGTTTTGCAATTTAAGGATCTATGCCAGCCCATAACCACCTTCCACATCTTGCTGTTCTGCTCCTGGCATCTTCTTTCCAGCACACGGCGTTCTGCTCGGATTTCACCACAGTCTTTCATTTAATTCTTTGGGTTTTTTGGCTTTTGCCACAAAGCTGTAACTGAAGAAGGATGGTTTTCTGCTTCCTGAAGTTTTCAGTTTCCCAAATGAAACTGGGCACTACAGCTTGGCAGAAACACATTTTCTCACTGTTTTTTTCAGTTCATCCTGGATTTGCCAGAATAAGAAATCCACACACGGTCTGGAGCAGGCAACAGCTGGATTTAACGCATTCCCAAAGAAAAAGTTTTGTGTGAATGTATGAAAAGTAATAGAAAGCATCTCTTATTCCATCAGCTTGCATAGCTACAGTCCTGGGATTTTAATTCCTTTTGATGCTAGAAGCATAGGACTGCATGTACAGTGTGGACAGGAACCACTGGAGCAGCTGGACAAATCTGACATTCTTCCATTTAAACTCATTCCATGTTACCCGGCTGCCATGAAAGATTGGTCAGAGATTTGTCAGTCTCCTGTTCCATAACCGTGACACAGGAAAACCCAAAAGTGCAAAATGGTTAGAAAATTTGAGGTCTGCATCTTTGAAACTCATCCTGCTCTCTGAGCTTTTGGAGCAAACCCCTTTGTGTTCCTCTGTGGCAACATCGACCTTATAAAGTCAAACAAGAACAATTTGTTTGGGAGTGAAGGTTGTCAAGAAAGGCGATAGCATTCTGATTCCAATGGTATTACTCATGATAACTACTATAAACTCTTATCCTAGGAGGAAATTTCTGCTCCCCAGAATTCATTCAGAAATAAAAACTAAAGCCCAAGGATTTGTACCACAAGGGATTAGCGTGTTTTGCTGCCTTAGCCCACGCACCATTTTTTCTCTGCCTCACAAAGGATCTGATAGTTCAGACTTGCATTTGATTTCAGAATACACCATCTTCTTCTCCTTGAGGATCACGAAGCTCAAGTGCCCAAAAGGTAAGCTTACTACAAGCTCTGGGACAGCCTTCCCTCTTGGAGTCCCACAGTACAAGAAAATGATGCTTCTTTCCTTGCCAAGGTATTTTAAAGGCAGAGAGCATTCTTGCAGCAGGTGCCTCTAGCCATTTGGATATATACACAGTTAACAAAGAGGGAATGCTCCCTCAGCAGAGAGTTTCCTTTAGAGAGGTTTCTATCTCAATGTTAAAGCCTGTCTGGAAGGAACTGGACTCCTGAGGTGAGCATGGTGAGAATATTGTAGAAATTCCTGCTTTTTAAAGATGTTTTGCAGCCCAGCCATCAATCTGGAGGGGAGAGAGGTCTGTGTGCCGGTGATCCAAGAGCAGCTGACCTTCTGTCACTAAAATGCATGACATGCAAAGGCTACTGTGCTTCCCAGAAGCACTCCAAATCCTGCTGGATGAGAGATGGCAAGTTGCCCTCATGCCTTGTCCCAAAAGCTCTGGATGACACAGAGGAAGACCATGTATTCTCCGAACACACACAGTGCTTGAAAAGCACCTTTTGTTCTCCCTACACTGCCCGGTGCTGGACAGCCAGGTACCGGCCAGCCTCGAGCAGATTCCCCTGGTGAGCACAAGCTTGTTTCTTGCATGTAGGTGAAGCCAAGTTAAGAATAAACGAACCAAGGGGAAAAACAAAAAGAGGGAAGCATTTACATTTCGGCTGCTGGCGGCCCTGTGGGGCAGGGATGCTGCTCCGGGAGGGCGGCGGGGCAGCAGCACTCACCTTGAGGTCTCGATGGACCACGCCCATCTGATGGCAGTGCAGCACGGCCTCCAGGATCTGCTGAATGCAATGACTGCATGCAAACACCATGGGCGCCCGTTAGTTCCAGCACCAGGGGAGGGGGCGGCGGCTGAGGGCGAGGCCGGGCCTGGCTGTGTTCCCGCCCCGGCCTGCCCTGCCCTGCGCCGCCCCGCTCGGGGCACGACGGCCTCAGGCTCCGCGGGGCTGCCCTCAGAGACAGGCGGCGGGGCGGCTGTCTCGGCTTTGCTTAGAAATTACCGCCAATCTCTTTTTTAATGGTACTTTTTAAAAGGGAGAAATTTTGCCACTAATTCGAGGTAGTGTCAAATTTTTTTTCTTTTTTTTTTTTTTTTCCTATTTTTTGCTTTTTTCTCCTCACTTACTCAGAGCCTTCACAGAGGAATTGAAGTATAGTATAAATGGTTAGAAATCGCAGCGCCCATGGAGGCGGCCCCCAAGCCCCCTCCACGCTCCAGGTTCATAATTAGCTCCTAGCCGCCTAATTTAGCCGGTAATTAGCGGCACTTGCCTGAGGGCCCGTCACCCCCGAGCGCAGCAGCGTGCGGCCGCAGGTCCTGCCGCTGCCCCCCGGGCCTCAGCACGGCCGTGGCGGTCACATCTGCAAGCTGACATACATCACAGGCAGGGGTCACCTCCACACAGGCACAGCCCGGGCTAAATCCGCCGCCTTGGCGAGAGACAATTTTTGGGAGCGTTCCCCCTTTTTGCCATGATGTATATTAGGCCTGTAGACTTGCAAACTGGAAAGAGGCGTCATGCATTATTGGTCGGAGCGGTTGTTCGGAGGGTGAATAGGATAGAGGCAAGGAAACATGGCAGATATCCCACCCTCTGCCCCTACCCAGCGCAAAGAAAAACCCCAAAATTCTTAGATCCAACTGATGGGCACCAGATACTGACCTTCAGGTCTCTGTGAACTATGCCATTTAGATGACAATGATTAACACTTTCTAGAATCTGCTGTATACAATGACTGCAAAGATACAAGGGCAGAATGGAAGGGAGAACATTTTAAAGGCACGTAATCACATTAAATACAAAATAAAATGAAAATTAAAAGCAAAAAGTAAAGGTAAAAAAAAAACAATTTTACACCTCTTGACAAGTCTTGATTGCGGTTTGAACTGGAACAATAACATTGCTGAAGGTAGAGATATTTCCAGCTCCAACATATCCAAAAAATGAAAAACCAAAACCAAACCAAAAAAGACATTTAACGTGGAACATATGACACCTACGAGACAGAATCATCAGACTGTATTCTCTATCAGCAGTATGGAAGCTTTTTCCACCTTCCAAAAACTGCCACAGGAAAAACAAAGTGGAGGCAGAAAAACAGTTAGTGGCATGTTTTGGTTTTCTTAATTTTTTGTGGTGAAGTTAACATAGCAACAAAGGCTGAAACAAGGAAATGGTCAGAAATGAGATGATATACAGAAAACAAATGAAACAAAAAAAGTCAAAAGCTAAGGAAAAGCAAAACATTTTTCATTTTGAATTGAATCATTTCTTTGAAACAATAACTAGAATAAAGCCAAGTCATTCAAAAAGGTGGCATGCATATTTAAAATAGTGTCCAGCTCTGGTTTCCTTAGGAGTCACTTGGGGAGAGAAAATCCACATTAAAAATTTAGACTAATGTTTTAGTTTGGTGCTTTCAGTAACTGAACTAGCACCTCTTTTTCCACACCCAGGTTTGCAAGTTTTGGTCACTCTATGATGCCATAAAGCACAACTAAAATACTAATATTTTAGAGCACTGGAACTTTTTCCAGATTTTTTTTTGGCACTGCAAGAGCTTAGAATTTTTTTTTCAGGACATCATTGTGGCACAAAGTGAGTGATGATAAGTAATACACAGTAGTCAAGATGCTGCTCATCCAAAACCTTTTGACCACAGAATTCAGAAGGAACAGTCATAATCAGTAACTGGAGCCCAAGCCTGAAAACCCTTTCTTAGGCAAGTAGTTCACAACTCACTGCACTGTTTGAGTACAGACTACTGGCGTGAGCAAGGGCTTGCAGGAGCAGACCAGTGAGACAGTCCTGGGAGAGACTCATCCACAGAGAACAGCAACTACTGCTAGAGGGATACACACATACACACACTAGGAATATTTTACATATATGTGAATATATATATATATATATAAAATATTCAAAATACAGAGATACGTCGTAACTAGGTATTTCACTTATTTGGTCAAATTCTTTCTGAAAATATAAAACGTGTATATATATATATATGTTCTCTCTATATATATACAAATATATGCACAGCCCCTTCCAATATATCATAATTCTAGAACAGAAGAAATCATTGCAATTTTAATTCCCAAATACCTTAAAAACACACAATGACACCATATACTGGCCTTTGGCATCAATATTAGAAATTTGCTTCAATCACAGCAGGAAAAAATTACTTGAAAATTTTTTTAAGGTCCCTCTTCTTCTTCCACCCCACCTAAACCCTACTGCTGTTTTCTCTCTTACAGGGTGTTCTGCTGTGTGTTGTTCTTAAGTGCCTAAAGTATTGATCTTTCTACCATTCCTACAGATGCAGTAAGATCTGGAAGTGGAAGCTTCCTAATACTCAGAGCAACTTCTCATCTGTTCATTATTATCCCACTACTGCTGTTAGAATACTTAATTCTTTCTGGTCATCTCCCAGTGAGCTCCAAATATAAAGGCGTGATTTAAAATTGCATGTACTAAATGTGTATTATTGGAGGGGGTGTTGTGTTTGTAAAAAAACAGAAACATAAGGATTCTTTAAATTTACATGGAGATCAATTTCTGTCAAGAGTGTAGTGGCAGAACTTATTTTCTTTAAAGTAATTGACCACAGTGTTTAGGATTCTTAATTTTATGACAATATTTATGATTTATTATTATATGAGGACAAACATGAGATAAGCGGCCCTGATACTTTACGCATGCAAATTATGATAATTGTCAACTTATTATTCAAGTTTTTCAACAAGCACTTGCAGAAAATTGCCATATTTGAGCTCAGACTATGAGACGCACAGTATAAGTGCTTTCTGATGAAACACAACAAAAAAATTCTAATTGGAAAACGAAATTAGCACTTCTGGACCGAGAACAAAAAATCGTATTTAATGCAAAATTCTTTTAAAACAACTTATGCTTCAAACTTTGATCAGCAGATATAAGAATCCATGGATGGGGTTCTTGAGCTGTTATGTCCAGTTTGCAGAGGTAACAATGGGTAAAATTTTAACTAATGGAGATGCAATTTCAGCTTTTGCAGATCAGCAGACACCACACGACTTCCCATGAGTTCTCCACCACACAGCCATGAGCTCAAACTGCGCAACTCTGCCATTCCAAGTCTAAGAGAACCCCCTGGAGAAATCCTGGAGTCTCACAGATTGCGCTGGGAAACTGATGCCAAACACCAGGATACATCTAAGTAACTATCCTAGAATTATCGAAGGCAACATTGGAAAAACAAATTACTTACCTGGCATCTGCTTCACTGTAATACTCTCTTGCAACTATATCTTCAAACAATTCACCTCCGGTGACTCTGTTACAAAAAGCAAGATGGGGAAAAGGAGATTTCAGAAGTGAAAATGTGCACCTTAAATTAACTTGACAGGGAGAAGCAGAGAGGAGTAAGTGAAATATTTGTACAGAAATGCAAGAGGTTTTGCAGCAAGGTGCAGGAACTCAAGTGGAAGGTTTGTCCATCCAAATCATTACGTGAATAAAATGGATGTGGTGAAGTGTAATCATAAATAGAAAATAAAAGCCAAGGGCAGCAGCATATTGGGCAAGATGCCAGACATCAGTTATGGATGTCTAAAGGAAGGAGTAAAAACTACAAGCATAAAGGGAGCTGACCAGCCAGGAAAATTGTGGCTGAAGTTCAGGGTAATTTGAACACTGTATTATCAGACAAAAAGGTGAGAAATGCTAGACTACAACAATGCTAAAGAACGAGAAGGGTCTTTCAGTGTAGGTGAAATCACAACAGAGCGTACCCAGGTGCCAGAGGGGCTGGCTTTTTGTGCTGTGGCTACAAAGAGCATTACTGACTGGGAAGGGAAGTATCAGTAGAAGCAGGGTACCTTAATCAATTTAACAGCAGATTTCCCCTAGAAAATTTTCATTTATCTTTGTGGAGAAAGTAGGAACAACTTAGTTAAAGCACCACTGAAAATAAGCTAAGTACAAGGGCAGAACTGTATGATCCTGGGGCCAGTAGCAGAAGTGGCTGTGTATCGCTGCACACTCAGGAGCTCACTGTGCAATCAGTGGTTTACTGGTAGAAAGTGGTTGAAAAGAAATAAAACTGTGATTTTATATCCCAAAGATCACGGTCCAGAATGAGCCCTGAGCAGGATGATACAACAATCATGGACTGCATCTGAAATAGGGTGACAGCAATGTCCTCAAGCGCAGCAGTAAAATCCCTCCTCATGTTGTACCAGTTCTGGTCACTCAAACTCAGAAAAGGGAACTGGAAGCCCAGCATGAACAGAAAAATTGCTACCAGGCTACCCAGTCACTCAATCATCAGATCTCCTCAGAGAAGCAAACCCAGTTTAGCTGGGCAAAACAAAGGTTAAGAGAGATTAAAATAAATACTCCAGATGAGCATAAGCCTGGATCTCCCCAAAGGGGAGTTGTAAGGGATAATACTGGTACAGTAACATATGAACATAAAATATCTATGAGTAAATATAAGGTTAAAATCAGGATAAGATTTCTAGCAATCCCTGTAAGATGAAGATCAATGAGTTTTAAAATAATTTAATGAAACTTGTCTGCCTGTGTCACAAGAGGGGACTCATAGCACAGGAAGACAATTTCCTGTAACATTTCTCTCCTATAGTATAGGCTATACACTAGCATATACTAGACTGGCACAGCTAAATGCAATTCCTCACATATACAGGTGCTTACATACATAATTCCTAGATGAGAGATCAATGTTTGTATTTCATTACAGGTTACGAATGAGAATATTAGCACATTATGTTTCAAATAAATTTCCAAATGTACAAGCTTGAGTGCACAAGATACTTAAAGATTGAGATGCTTCAAAATCTATACTACAGTGAACACAATTACTATTGAATACACTTCAGTTTATTAGGATTAAAAAATTAAAGCTGAGAACACTTGCAATGTTCAGAACTGTAACATTCACTTGCAAACTGCTGTACTAACACTTTGTTGAGGAATTCAGTTTTCAGTCAAATTAAGTGATGACAAAAATGCCCTGCTCAACCATCAGTCCTGCTCCTTTCTTGGAGAAGGCCAGTTCAAGAACTTGATTTTATTTCATTTATATTTGGGTTACACCATACTTTTTCTGAGTTTACACCTTACTGACTCCCAACACAGAGACTTTCAGGAATGCTGTTTTGTACAAAAGTCTGCAGTAAAATCTTGAGGACGTAAAGTAGATTGCTAATCAATTTGTATTCTCTTTCTTTACGTCTTCTACCTTCCAGAGACTGGCTTTGGTTGCTGTAGCACAAAATGTTTGACTGATGCATATTTTGACAGTCTTGCATAACTCCTTTTTGCATATGTATTTGTCTGCCATAATTCTGGTAAAGAGGAATAATTCTCACTTTGTGATGAATGAAAAAACAAAGCATCCTTTGATCTTACTCTTTCCTGAAACACTTATTTTTGATCCAAACCAAAGAAAGAAAACAAGAATCTTTAGTCATCAAAGTGCCTTTCAGTGGAAGAGAATACCAAATTGATGTTTGATCTTCTCCAGCACGGAGGGAGGAAGGGGATACTAAATCTTACTTGCTGACACTAAACATTTGCTTGGTATTCACAACCACTGTTAAACAATGAAAAGATTAAAGCAGGAACAGAGCAGGTGAATTTCAGTGACAACCAAACAAGCAGTCAGCAATTCCCATGCCCTGTCACTCTGAAGGATACCTTAGGAACAGCTCTCCCAAAAGATCTGAATGGCCACAATGGAGGCAGGCAGTGCATGAGGAGAGGACAGGACCCACCTGCAGGTTCTGAGCCCCTGGGCAAACCACGACAGCCGTGCTCGTGGCCTTGGCTCACTCGGTGTCCCTGAGCAAGGTGCCCCTGCAGCAATAAAGGTCACTGGCATCACAGTGTGGGACAGCCTGCAGCTTCTGGAAAGCCACTCACTAATGACTTTGGTCCTTCACCATAAAGCTACATGAGCAGGTGCCAAGGTACAATCTCCCCGCAGGATACAAATGGGAATGGATCTCAAGGCCTTTCTGACACTGATCTGGATCTGGATCCTGGGAAGTGGCATTTCATGACAGGCCATTAATTTTATAAGCTCCAGTAACTTAAGGGATACTACCTAAAAGCTACTGGTTTGGACAAATTGCTATGGTTCTTTGGTGATTTTTCAGAGGAGCAGACTAAAGTGGTGATAAATAAAGCACATGGGTTTGTTTGCACAAGGGGTACAAGCAGCACGTAGAAACACCAAGGTCCTCTGCACCACTTTGAGAAAAACTGCTGGTTTATATTTGCACATGTAAGAGAATAATTAAAAGAAACACACAAATTAGCACAGACAGCTAAATCAGCCTCTGCTGATGATCATACTGGCATGGTTTCCTCCTAGCTCACATTTATTTCTTCAATTGCCTTCATAATGGAGCTGGGAGGAAGCATCTTACCCTGGCCACAGAATTATTAAATTCGTTCTGTGGCCCTTCTACTTCTGAAATAGAGGCCCAGACTTTTACCTGAAGCAAACACTGTTTTGCAAATTAGGCTACTTTTTTTTGTATTTTCTATTTATTCTACACATTATGGTCCCTGCACTTAGAATCCAAAAGCAAGGCCAGGATTCTTAATGTACCAATTGTTGCATCTCATCAAGTGCATTAAAACGGGAGACACTGAAAATAGAGAATCTCATTGACTTGCACAAGAGAGTCTTCAAGTGCTACAGCTGTTTCCATTCAGATATGGCAATTAATACTGACAGAACTGATTGGATTTGAACTCATCTAACATCATTAGCACTGAAGACAGTCTCATTCGTGCTTAGCAACTGAAATGGTCCCACAGACGCAAATCCTGACTGCAGCTGCCTTAACCAATAGGGAAGGGGAGCAAAAACCTCATGAAGTCCATTATTAAATTCATGAAGTTCATTGTTCAGTACCCATTTTCCACAGGGATTTCCAGACTCCCACCTTCCCATGTGACACCGAAATGCAGGTCTGTAACACAGTACATTAAATACTGTTTCCTTCTCCAGATAAAAGCACAGCCTGAGGTATACAAGTGAAGCAACAGGCTGCAGACATCTCTATGACATTTAATCCAAAGAGATTATTAGACATTCAAAATAGAAAGTAACAACGATTGTTTTTTCTATCCACAGAAAGGGCAGTCCTCCCCTTCACTTTCTTTACGTGGGCTGAAGTCTGAAAGAAATTTCTGAGGAAACAGTCACACCGAATCCCACACAGTCTGCAAGAAATCATTAAGAAAATGACATGATGGCATGTGTGGGTGGAGTGACAGTGTTACACCACAGTCAGGCTCCTGCTGAATAAAAACTAAATTAAGAAAAAGCAGGTTCTTGGCCTGTGTGTTCAAAAAGTGCATACGGTACCTTTTTATCATGCAAACTTTCATCTACTTGTCAACAGGGCAGTAATCACATGGTTGTAAAAGGTGAAGTTTCACTAATTAATAATATTAGTGAGCATTAAAGCAATGATTTCTTAATTTGAATGTGAAAAAATTAACTGTGAGCAGGCATTCTCAGTAATTTGGCAAAAGCTCCTCAAGAATGCGACCTGTTGCTTCTCCAAAGACAACGATCAGTCAGCAACGTCACCGTCTCTGCCATTTAGATGTATTTTCTTTTTTGTAAAATAAATAATTTCTACAAAAACCTCTAACCACATGGTCAAAACATAAAAGCTTTTTAAGTTATGTTTGAGGCTGTTTCTCTGTTTGTCCTGAATGGGACTGACAAGGAATGGGGCAAGTTCCAGCCAAGGGAGAACATTTCCTGTGGAATTTAGTTTCCTGCCAAGGCAGTATCTTTGGGTTAGGCATTAACATTTTACTGCAGAACACAGGCTTCTATTTGCTCCCTTACTATCGAGATCTAGATACTGTTATCTACAGCTTCGAAGTTGTTCAAATGTTCTAGTTCACATCACAATCATAACCCCCTGAGATAAGTCTGCCATTATATATTAAATTTTATGCAGATGTAGACTGTTATAGTGTATATATATATATATATATATATATATATATATGCCACAGTTTCTCACAGTACAGCAGTACAACTAAAAATAAAGAGCCACTGGTTGTTAAAAGGGATATTGTCCCTAGAACAAAGAATTCTACATGTACTTCTTAGAAATGTTGTGACTAAAGAAGCTTTTTCCAATTCCACAAAGAAAGATATCCTTTGTAGCCCTTAAGGAAAAAAAAAAGGCAAAACAAACCCCAGTGCATGTCAGAGAATAAATGTGTGTTGTGCCCTGGAGCCATTTCCAAGCCAACAGTCAGAGCACTTACCTGGGATAGACACAAATCACATCCAAGCTTCTGTTCAGCCCGGTTAGGATTTGGGTCCTGAATCCCCAGTGCCTTCACTTCAGACACACTATTTAATATTTGTGTATTTCTAGCCTGAAATCTAGTGCTGAAGAAGTCTTTACAGATTGCTTTAAAAGAAGTTAAGCCAGAAAGTAAACCAGCATGTAACCCGAACATGAAAGCACATAATTGCTTGTGTAAAGGAGGATTCAGGTTCTAACTTAGCCATGCTGAATGCAAATACTTCTGTTTATATGCTTAGAAATGAGCTATTTCCCATCTCTGGGGAAATAATGTATTCTCATTCTAAGCAGCAAAACCACAGGGGGCCTAAGAAAGCTCTTCAGGTAGTTGGGCAGGTGTGTTGTCTGTTAAATCAAAAACTGCCCTGGAAAAATTTACAGTTTAAAGAGATAATTTTGCTTAAGTCAGTTTTGCAATACAATTCCTTTCATTCAGGTTTGTCCATATCCAAAACCATAAGCAATCATTTTTCAAGCGGGTGGAAAAGCTTGCCCATCCCAGGGAAGAATGAGGAAATCAGTTTCTCTTTTCAAGTTAAGAGCCTGAGATACACAGTTCATGCTGTCACTATCCCAGCTCCCACTAAACAGCTTTATCTGGAAAAAACAAGCTCCTTACAGGCCCAGTTGCTACATGAACAACTCATGGGACTTAAATTCCTAAAGGAAAACAGGATCTCAGTAGGAAACTTCCCTTCTAGGTGCTGGGCACTTTACATTCTGTGTGGCGTCAAAATCAAACACTATAAAGCAGTAAGGTATCAGTCAGGAATGAAATACTAAAAGAATCTTGCCCTCTCTAAACTCAGGCTTACCTTTTTAATCCAGCAGTGGAGATTTTCTGGAGAGAAATTAATGTTCCACATGCTTCTTTTAACCTCTCCTTTAGACAACTGGCTTGCAGCAAATATTTTTTTTGGAGTCGATCTTTGCTTCATTTTGGCAATAATCACACAACCTTTACTTACATACCTACACTTCACATTAAAATCCACTTCCCCAGTGGATTTTTACTAGTTTTTAAACTGGAATCCTTAGAGTGATGCTTACAAAAGAGTTCTTGCACATGCAAATGACCAAATATGTTCCCGTCCTTCTGGCTGTTTCCAGTATGTGTTCAGCTCATCGCACCAGAATCGTGCATCTATCCTGTGTGATTGCACTCGCATCTCCAAATTTGAACAACACATCCCCAACATGCTAAACAAATGCAAAACAAATACTTACAAGTCAAAGACTAAGTAATGGAATCCTTCTTCTGATATGCTGTCATGGAGCCGCACTATGGAAAGGGGGAAGAAAAGATAAACACCAGTCACCTTTTCCATGTCTTTGATGGGGGAGTTATAATTCTACTGCAGAGCTGATATTGCATCTCTCTGTGTTCTCAGCTGAGGGGTTTGTTTTCAACTCCCTACCCTCAGAATCACCTTTTCCATAGCTCTTAACTTTGCTGATGTCATATAACCTTTTTCTCAGCACTATTACATCTTAGGAGTTGTAAATAAAACAAGATGAGGAAAAACCACCGCAGTAAGTCACAAATTTCAGCAGAGTAACAACCTTTCAGGGCCTGCTAACAATTCTTCACACATACCATGAAGAGTTGCAAAGAGAGAAATCTCCTGGCCAGCCTAGAGCATCCTAATTAAGCCCCCATGCCATGTTTACATACTCCTTTCTGTGTCCCTATCTAAAGCTTTCACTATGAATGTGCTAGTGAGTTGCAGAATCTTCCCCTCAGATTTTAAGAATTCACACCACATTGTGGTACAGTTATGAATTAAGCCCTGTGGTTTTCCTTATTATTTTAAATGAAATTGCAATTTTCAGAAGTAATACAGGAAGCTTTGTCAGTAGTTTGATCCAAATAATTATCACTTATAGAATCAAATGAAAGTCAGGGTACCCTAAAAGTGATCTGTGTTCAAAGCTGAGCTGAGGAAGAAAGTGTAGAAGAAAAGCAATTTCAGATCTCCCCAGATGGTAACTTTCTGTATTAATCATTTTTTATACATGACAAACAAACATGACTTTTTAACTTAATAATATTTAGCCCAGAGAAACATCTTGTGTTTACACAATACTGAAGAGAAAACCAGCTCTTGGCTGACTCAGTGTGCAGAGCTCATGATGATTCACAAGAGCCAAGTAGGTCTAAATCAGAGTTTGTGGTTTTGGCTGGTTCTGTATTTCAGATTACTCCATGTTTTTATGAAGGGCCAGCCAACATCACTCTCCACCCTCCCAAAAAACCCCCAAATCAGCTGTCTGCTTGCATTGACCTGAGCTTTCAACACCCCAAAATGTCTTTAAAGCAAACCAAATGTGGGATGAGACACCACGTACCAGCTTAGAAGAGCATCCTCACATTCCCAGCTGAGGACAGAGACCCCTAAAACATCTGGCTGTTGGGCACATTGCTTTGCACAGCAGCATCAAAGATACTGCTCATGAAATGGGATTTAGTACAGACCCTTGGGGATGTCACAGATGCTACACAGCCCTAAATCTGTACAATTTGGAGTGCAGCTGGTCTGCTTTGTGTATACATCTCCAAAAAAGTTTACAGCTCTTAAAGCTTCGATACGCAGTAAATGATACCTTTTGCTAGGAAAGTCCTATTCATGGAATAGATTAGTAAGAATGCAAAGCATGTCTTTTTCAATTCAGAGCAATATTCTCCTCTGTCATATCCCTGTTACCAAGCAGGCCAGGATGGCACCATGGGAAGAGGCTTCTCTAGCTTTGGTGTCTGCCTCAAGCAGGAGGTGCTCTCGCTTTGTCACTTCCTTCTCTAGAACAGGACTTGGTTCCAAGTGCCTGCAGGAGCACGCATCTGTCCCTCTGGACTAGAAAGTGGCTGTTATTTGAGATGATGGAAGATGTGCTGCTCAGCCTGGGGAGGTTAATTCCTTGCTAGCCAAACTGGAGTCTGACATGTCTTCAAAGATATCTTCTTCAAGGATCACATTCTTTCTTTTCCTTTCCTCCCAAATGCCTGAATCACAGAAGTGAGATGGAACAAATCCTTCTCTGAATCAGGATCATATGCCTCTGATTGTTTCTGAAAAGGAAAACAGGCTGAGGCAGCCAGGGAAGATGGGAGCTGCCTTTTGGCAAGTGCTTGTGTTGGCATCTTTGGTCAATCCAGGCACACATCTACAGAGGGAAAATGCCAAATAAGCGAGGGCAGAGGAGAGCGATCCCTGGTGCAGACAAGGCTGAGTGCAGAGCCAACAGTGCCCATTGGCACCGGGGCTAATCCAGCATGGCCCAGACATTCTGCCTGCCCCCAGCCTGCCCTGGGAAAGACAAGGGTTGCTGGGATAACAATTTGAGAAGATACTCACAAAGTTTAAGAGGGGATGCACTACAAGAAGAATTTGTGCAGTCACTGCAGACAGATACAGCTCTTCACACACACCTATCAAGCAGGACTCAGGCACGACAAACCAAAAGGCAGCAATTACAGAGATTATTCATCCAATATAATGACTCCCATCAGAAGCTCACGCTGTCATTCCTGTTTCTCCAGAGTCACAAAGCATTCATCAGTAGTAACAGTTCCATTTATCTTTTCTGAAAGGATTTCAGTTAAGCCAAATCATTATTAACTGCAGATATTCCATCAATGCTGTTATCAATAAACACATGAGAGGGCAGAAGGAAACCGGGGTAACTCCTTTTCCTCCTGCCTGCTGTAGCCCTGTGGTCACTCTCCTTCACTGGCTTCCAGAGAAGGTGCTTAAGAGCCTCAGACAAAGTTGTTGCTCCTGAGCAAACCCCTTGGAATGCCTGACAGGAACTCGGGGAACTTGCAGCCCTTCCTTCTGGAAAAATACTGTAAGCCCACAAAACATCAGGAATACCCCAGCTTTGGCTTCAGCACTGATATTCACCTGAAATACTTTCCAATCATCATACTGGAAATACCCTCATAAGAATTTTAGGGAGAACTCCTACAAGCTTGATTATCTTCCATTTAGCCACTAGTCACATTTAGTCACATCCAATCTGACTGGAAAGTAAAATTATCTCCTCTGTGTGACTTTTTGTGCTGAACTGCACTATTTTGTGCCTATCCCACTGAAAACAGCTTGATATAATGGCCAAATAACTTTATGATTTCCTTTTTGAATTTCTGCCTTTAAGAAAAAAAAAAATCAAATCCAAATAATAGTATTCCACATCCTTACAGTGAAAATTAAATTTTTCCAGGCAAGGAGTCAAGTCAAACAGTAGACAGAGAAATTCTCAATGACAAAAAGAAGTTTAACCACACCTAAACGTACTGCCTAAAATATTTGTGTGAAACTGCTCATGTGATCGTTTTGCTAATTTTAGTATCTGAATTAGTTCCTGTTACAAAGACAAATGATTGGAGAAGACTAAACTTCACACCGAAGTTATGTTGCACAGCAGCTGCACAGATGTGCACTGAGGTACCAAACTGCCAGGGTGATGCTTCTTGGGGAAAACTCTCTGCAATCCCACTCATTTTGCTTATGAACAGAGCATGGAAAGGAATTAACAGAGTCCATGGTAAAGACACTCTGTTTTCCCTTTGGTACTAAAGATTAAGATCTGTGGAACCCCAGAGTAACTGCAGAGTATCCTGTAACTCTGTGAAGTTTAATGTCTCAAATCAGTGCACCACAAGGAAGTTACAGGGCACATTCATCAGTAGCAGAGGTTAAAAATGGGTTTGAAAGCCACAAAAGCTCATGCCATATTTGCTGAAATATGCAAATTACTTCAAGTTTCTGCTTTCCTGCAATGATGAAAAAGGGAAAAGGATGTTTTCCCTCCATGTTCACTTCCAGAAGTTTATTAGGGTATTTATGCACACCTTACATAGACCACTTATTGAAACTAACAAACACCCCAAACCAAAACCAGAATACCCTTTCAAAAATGAACTTAATTACTTAATGGAAGGAACTTCCTGGAACGGTTTAATTAATCTTGGGGTGTTCCATGAACTGGTATCTGCCTGCCAGTAGATATGGGATAAATTGTTGCATTTGAAAATGAAAAGACAAAATACAAATAGAAAAAAAAAACCAAAACCCTCAGTCACTGAAAAGCCATAACCAGATATGTTTTTACACGTATTTGAACCACTCTATCTTCTATTTCAAACACCTGTCTATAAGAATTTTCTGCTGTCCTGTCTCTGACAAAGAAAGGCTTGTGCTCAGCAGAATTGCTTGGCTGAGAAGTGCAAGATCTGCTGTGGCTTAGCACTGTCAGAACTCACATCTTCCTGCAAAGTCACCCTTTGCCACCTTTCCTGTTCTACTGCATAAAGCAAAGCAACGAGGGACGAAAAATAAAGTTACTGCTTGAACTTTACCAGAAACTCCCATGGACATCAGTGCAGGACCCTTTACGGCAGTACCAAGAACCAGGACTGAAATCAGCATTCATCCTACAGCTTTTAATCTGGATCCCAAGGGAAATGTGCTGGGATCCCAAGGTAAACACAGAAGAAGCAGAACAGAACATGCAAAGGTTTGTGACCCACTGCTCAGGAGTGCTGCTACTGGCACTGATCTGGCTCCCTTCCAACAACATCTTCACTGCAGCCTCATTCTCGGCGCCTCAGCGCTCCACCGTGTCCCCACATCCTCTTTTGAACGCCTGGGATAAATGGAAGAAATAAGCTCTGCTGAGCCACCAAACCCTTTAAATCAGTGGTGCATAAGAGTCACAGCTATAGCTCCCAGGCAGGGAACTCGGCACGAAAACTGAGTCTGTGCTGTCCTTACTGCTCCTTACACTCACATTTCCTCTCACACAACACTGTTCTGCTGAGACCAGGGAAGCCTGGGGCCCTCTATAATAAAGCTCATCAGGTACAGTAAAGAGAATTTGGAAAATATTAATCAGAGCTGTTACCTAAGAGTCTGAAATATTTAGAGGCTAATCTGGTAAGATTAGTACAGTAGCAATGCTCCAGGGCAGCTCCTTTTTGAACAACACTAAACACAGAATAATACTTTGCATACCTAAGAAAATAATCCTACCCCATGCTGTCAAACACACCAGCAGTAAAATACAATACTTACAGTCACTAAAGGACTTGATGCAAGTCAGCAGTGCTGTATACACCATTAACAGGTGCCCTGTATTCAGCAACAGCAAACCAAAACTATCTAACACCCCAATTCCTTCAAAAGGTACTCTTTTTATTACAGTGCAAATTCACAATTATTTAGGGCCAAAAACTTGAGAAAAAAAACCCCTATTCATCTGCATCTCAAAAATTCATATAAT